GAAATATTTTACTCCCTTTGACCTTAACAAAACGTCCCTTTTCATAAAAGGACTAAATATATGATTTTTTTTAATTTTTTAACTTAATGGTCTGTCCCCTGAAAAAAGTTTTTCAAATAAGCCTAACAAAAACAATTTAATTTAAAACAAAATTGCTTAATTTGCCATTGGTTATTTAAAAAATAATAACAATAGTATATGTAAATAAATGATCAAACGCCTATTTATTTATTCATTTATTTATATGAAATGCTTTTTTTAGAAGCATTTCATGCATTGCACTGCAAGATTTTTCCTTTTTTTAAAGAAGTAAATAAAACAAAGATAATTGGAAGATATTTTACAAGAAAATACTGTTTCGATCTTTCACCTTAAACAGTTCACGTTTGTATTACTTGCCTTTTTCCTAATTATTTGTGAAATAATGTTTGAGTGAAAATCCAGTGCCTAATATCGAAAAGACAGTTACAGTCGGAATAATATATTTCATTAACCTTTCAGAATCTATTACGAAACAATTATCTCCATATCCTGCTGCATAAGCAAAATATTTCTCTAAAAAGAAAGCAACCACAACCGCCATCAATCTGTCTATCTGTACTAAACACAATTCTGTTCCTGAACGCTCTCTCAGCTAGTATGCACTACACATGACAGACACAGCTACACATCAGAAGGATGCGCATTTGGTGCTCTCGTTTTCCCTTATTCAACCAAACGTGAACCACTCCGCCATTTAACGATCCATCTGGAGATGCGAGGCAGCTGCATTCATGTTAAAAGCACGGGCACTTCCTGGGCAGATCAGTTCACAGCTGGAGCTTTACGCTATGGAATATTATGCACTGGCGATCAATCACAGGGGTGAGGCTTTGCCAAAACGCATTTATTAAACTCATCTCTAGAACTAGAAGGCAGAGACTTATGCAAACATCACTTCAATTCTATCTTCATCACGCATATAAATAACAAACCGAGCAGAATAAAATAAAATCGCAGAGGTCTGTCGACAAAGCCCTGCGTAATTCCTCAAACGTCCGTGCAGAATAAGGGCGTTCCTGTGATGGTCCATCTTTACACTGGTGCATCAAACGTTTTTGGTGTTAGTCTGGTTCTCGTGCCGCATATTAATAATTTAAACAACATACAATGAGAATAAAACCTATACATGTCATGATGCACAATGCGCATCCGCAACATCCCTAGAGTAACGTCCACCCCGTTCAGCGCAATGGCAGGGAAACAACCAGTCGCATCCAGGATGAACACTAATGACACATGTAACGGGAAAGGTACCATAAAATAGCACCTACATATGGTTAAATATATAACCTCAAAGTAGCCGAGGATTAACATTATGGTCTTACTTTCGCCAACGACCGCCTTTAATCCAATTGGTGCCATGATGCTCCTGAGTGTTCGCCCGTGTGCTGTATCTTCTCCTCCCTCTCCTCCTCTTGCTGTCTCTGGCAGAGCGGTGCTGCGCACTCACAGCAGCTGACTGCGGAGATTCGTCACTGCGTAACCGCCCCTCCCTCACATGCGCTCATGCTACCGACCGAGCGCCGTTATATGCTGCGCGCTTTCCAAACGCTTAGGGCGCAGACACAGAATCACAAGTGAAGCCTTTCTTGATTTCACGCTGATTTGTTCATGCCATGATCAGTGGAGGCTGTAAAATATCCTTGCAACTGTTTCCACTGTTGACAAAAAGAGCCGGTCGCTCAATTAGTGAAGCAACTAAAGTTTTAAGGGGGTCATATGATGCGATTTCAATTTTTCCTTTCTCTTTGGAGTGTTACAAGCTCTTGGTGCATAAAGAAGATCTGTAAAGTTGCAAACACTTAAGTCTCAAAACCAAAGAGATATTCTTTATAAAAGTTCAGAGTTAACCACGCCTACCTAAAACGGCTCGGTCTAACACGCCCCCACATACCTACGTCATGATGTGGGAAGATTTGCATAACGCCGCCCAAATGTTCACGCAAAGAAAGAAGGCGTAACTTTTATTCTTGCTGTAGTATTGTTGACCCTGCAGCCTTGTCCGGAAGCCACTGTGTTTCGTTGTGAAAGCGAAACTACTTTGTTTGGTCTTCCAAAAGAGGACGATATCCGCTTCGTCGTGCCTAGAGCTGATCCGTGCTGGTCGCTGAGGGAATACATCAACTTTCACCGTGGACAAAGCGGAGTCCAGCCCGCCTCAGCTCACTCTATCCCGGCCTCAGCGCACTCTAAGCCGGGGCTTCCCCTCACGCTAGGCCGCTGTGTTGTTCGTTGCCACCGATGATTCAAACGTGAGTTTTGGGCAGTAGAGTAGCACTTGTTGTTTGTCATTTCTCCAATCACAAATGCAGACAGAGTTTTATGTTTACGTACACTACCAAACTACCAACAAAACAGATTTAGTTTAGTTAATCAAAAATTCAACATAAATTGTTAGCATACTAATTATAAAATCAAATCAAATAAAGCTATACACTGTAACACTATTTTACATTTTACTGTTGTCATGTCTGCAGTATCGTAAGTGTGATCAAACTGCTGGATCTAGTGCAGCATTTAGTCATTTTGACCGCATGAGGGCGATAAACGTCTACTAAACAAACCCTTTATCGTAATTTAAGTTTTGCCATTTAACTGTCACCCGTCCCCTCTGTGGGACGCCTAAATTTACTTCACTATATTACAATTAAATCCTAATCTAATCATGACAAACTATATATCGTTGGAAAGGTCTAAGACTCCTAAATAATTTTTAACAAAAACATTGGTAAAATATCTATGTAGGAAATTGAATTTATGTAATGTAGATTAATTTAAGACAAGAGTGCACCTCAAAAATCTACATCATAACAGGAGTTCTGACCTTTGTGAAAAAAAGTCTTCTTTGTTGCCTTTTTCTCTATCCCACTTTACAAATCATCCGAAATGATATATCAATTGGAAACTTTAAATCTCAAAATTCATCCTTTGAAACCCATTTTAAAATCAAACACTGCATTACCATGAAAATGGTACATCAGTATCATGTTACAAAATGTTTTCGTTCATGAATTAGAAAAATGTAAGTTTGGATCGTGCACTTTCATATCTATGTTCAAAAATGTGAGTGACAGTTAAGGGGTTTTAACTTTAAATTACGGTATAGTTATTTGGATACATTTTTTTCGTAACATTTAGGAATACTTTCTGATCAGAATAATTAGAAATTATAATTTAAACAGCCACCTTTAGAAAATAATGTACTTTTACCACACATAATAATATTATATTACAATTCAATTTTCAGTCATTCTTGAGAAGTGAGACAAAACAGGGTGCAAAATTGAAAAAAATAAAACCTTGTACTCAGACAAATGAAACTACATTTATGTATCTTATATGTACTAAGCTACTGAGCTATGCTTTGATACAACCTCCCAGCTTTTCTCTTTTTTAACAAAATGTGCTTTTTTTACCTTGGACTGTGTAATATCATTTCAACTTTATCTTTAACAGCATTCAACATGTTTCTAACATTTCAAAACATCCTGGTGTTAGCAGACAGATTGCACTTTCACATGTGACCAACAATTCCACAACAAATATAAAATATCATAATGAAATATTATCAAAATATTCAACTGACGGAGGTGACAGAACTGACGGAGTTGACACATCTGATGGTGGTGACGAAAACCTGAATTTGTAATAATTTTAACTATCAAATACATTGAATCAGTCAATTACGGTATTAAAACAAACAGTGAGTATGTTATTGTTTATAAAGCTTTTATTCAAGAGTCACATTTTAAGTATTGTGATATATCACAGGAACACAAAATCTTATGGTGGTGACATCTGACGGTGTTGACAAATTTGGCATTTCTTTCACAAAACCAATGGAGTTCATGTAGTAGCCATTTTATTTGTTTCTGTTGATGCTAGATGCTAATGGAGCCTGCTTCAGGAGAATACAATTATCTAAATATTTCAAATAATTTCCTCAGAAATTGGAAGATGGTGTTGACATATCATGGCTGTGACAAAGGAAATACTAACATTAGGATTTAAAATATTCTAAAACTACAAAACTTAGCAGAGCCTGTGTGACACTGATGTACTCTGCAGGGGTGAACTGCGGCAAGGGGGTCCTTTAGAGTGACAGCTGCCCCTGATATTCCCTGATTTTATTACATTTTATTGAATGTCTGACGGTGTTGACAACAAGTGGGGACGCAACTTTAAAATCTTATGAAACATGCATGTGTCATTAAAAAAACAATCTTGCTTTGATAGGAGATATTATTAAGTTTTGCTTTTGATAAAACAATTAAAAAGCATTTGTATCCATTTTATTGCATATGAATGCTTGAACCCTTCTCTGTGGACACACTGTTTTAGACGTAGTGAGAGGACATTAAGAAACACAGATTTGGTATAATAATGAGAAAATTAAATTGAAGGTGATAATTGTGTTAAATACATTCTATTATTAATCCCTCATAACATATCAAATTAAAAATATTTGTAATGTTTAAAGCTAATAGCAGTTACCCTTGCTGGACCTGTTTTGTCCCATGTCTCAAGAATGACTGGTTTACTTTATAAATTACATGCTTTTATGTTGTGTTTTAATAAAATATAATTATATTTTTTAAACACTGTTTGAGAAAACAATGGAGTTTTAACATTGAAAAGGACATTTTGATGGTTGTATATAAATCACTTATTGAATCTTTTCTTACTTTTAATATTGTATCCTGGTTTAACTCTCTTTCTGTTAAAAGCAACTTTTAAAGATTATACAAAAGTTTACAAAACGGGTTCCCTTTCTATTAAATAAATGACTACGTTAAGTAAAGCCCATCATATAACAAAAGCAAATCCCTGATCATATCAGACTGTGATTAAAAATACAGCAGGCGGTTTGTTGTGAAGTTGGGTGTGTCAGGCGGTGTAAGCCACGCCCTCTGAATGTCACTCATTTGACTCAACAGGTTTAAATGAGTCTTGTTTCTCACACAGAGGGCGTCACGCGGTCAGCGAAGTCAAGTCAATGCAAGATGAACGCAACGCTCTGAAGTGACCAGGGATGGTTTATTTGGAAGACTCGAAGGATACATTTCTGTAGCGTTTCCTAAGTTTCAGGTCCTTAGGAACTTTCTTCAATATCCGTGACTGTCATTTAAATCGCCATCATGGGTGATGTGATTTCTACCAACCTGGACGAAGGCAAGCGGGAGATGATTACAGGTAAAACGCGTTTGTATTACTTTTAAAAGGGGATAAAGTCATTTTCTGTACAACAAAGCTACCGTACTTTAAACGCGGATGGTTTCGAGTAAAAATATGGTTTTAGGCAACGTGGACAGAACAGCCAGAATTCTGTAAGAGATTTTTAGCATACACATGTTAAGTTGCCAAAGAAACTTGGACGCGTTCGCGCGCTCAAACACAAAAGCGTAATGAGACCGAACGCAGTCGAGACGCGTTTTTCACTCAGTCATCATTTACTCGGGCTGTCAGTTCATAACTTTCTTCCTAACTACTTTTACGCTCCACGGAAGGAATAAAGACATTCATACAGGTTTGTACAAGTAGGCTACATGAGGTTGAGTAAATCATGACAATTTTATTTGACACGGCGTCCTAAAAAACGCGACGCAACACAGACGCTCGCATGTGGTCACTAACCAACGATTAAAAGTAACGTAACTCGGACTGAACCCAAGAACGCGTCGCGTTTAAACGCCCCCTAAAGCCTCAATTGTACACATGCAGGTTTAAATAACCTTTTGAGGCAAAATAGAGTAATATTGGTCTTAAAAACATTTTTTGATATTGTTAATCCTGTTGTGAATTGATGTTATACCATTCTTTAAACGTTTCTTAGGTGTAAAGCCAACTCTATTCCGTTTTATTTAAATCATGAATAGTATCCTCAGTATCTTTTAATAGTAGTTTAGTCTACAAATTATATTTTCTGCTATAAGATAGTAAAATTTGAAAAATGTCCTTCCATTTTGTGCCCATGAAGCTTAAGAATTTTGGCTGTATTATGGTTCCTTTAGTTGGTTTGGAGAACTGGTTATATCCTCTACCTGTAAAGACACCCTTTCCATAACCATATATCATTTCTTCTCCAAAGCATGATGGGTAATAATCACATTCCTTTAAAGAAATACGCTTTTGTCATTAAAGAGCTTTATTATTTGAGGTGTGGAATACAACATTTGCTTTTGTTTATCAAGGCTTTTCCTGGAAACTTCAGGAACATTTCATAGTTATCCGGTGCTACCAAACTGACACGTGGGAAATGAGATGTTACCGGTCCATAATTTGTGACGTCTGTAGTGGTTGTGTTTTGGAGCTGCGTCTCATCTTTTTCTATCATTTGTCCCTCATGCCAATAATAGAAGCTATCTCTGGATGAAAACCGACTTGATAAATATAGCCTAAGTGTTCTTTTAGAACAGTTTTCAGTTGTAGAAAACTGTTGAAAAACCAGTTTGAGTGAAACGCATTGTGAGATCATTTCCAAAAAGTTATTATGGGAAAACAAAAGCTCTTTTGGCCATGACTGGAAATGTTGGATCACTGTAACCACACACGTACTCTAAGAACAAGTCAGGACTAGCGAAGAAGCATCATTGTGTGTGTTTGAAGTACCAGTCTGGATCTTTCACTGATGATAGGCTTGAGTCACTTGATGAGTTGGCACTTCGTGAAAAGATGGTCTTGTTCTGAGCTCATTTCGGAGATGAATGCAGGTGGATCTCATGAAGACGCATGTGATGTTGTCATAAAGAGTCGATCTGCTGACTCAGCCCTTTTGAAATTCCACCATTTAGAAATGAACTGTGGGAAGATGTTTAGTCTTCAGAGGAGAACGCCGCCCTCATAGACTCTCTATTTATGAAGCCTGGAGCAGTTATGAAGATGTTTGTGGTAGATGGACATGAGGTTGAAGGGAGGTTTGAATGCAAGAAATTCCTCTAGGGATCTCTAGACCTCCCTCGTGAACTATTTGACTAATAGGGCTGGATGTTTTCTGAGAGAGTGAGAGCAAGAATGAACATGTCTTGGAGTAATGGGGAGGATCTTCTCAAGGTGTCCTCATTAGGGTTGTGACAGTGAGGAAATTTTCCCACTGGCTAATCGACGTGTGACAACACCGGTAATACCGGTATCACCGCGGGGGCGTTTCCCCTCTTCCTCGCTTTCCTTCGCTTTTAAATGTGCGGCGTGCACATTTTACTTTCACTTTCAAATAGCGCCAATTCGGAGTAAAGCAATTGTTCGTTTGAATTTTCCCCCTTTTCTTAGCTTTCCTTCGCTTTTAAATAGCTTAAAAGTGCCGTGCACATTTTACTTTCACTTTCGAATTAGCGGCAGTTAGGCGTCAGTTGCTTGAATGCAACAACAAAATACAACGTCAAACTCACTTTAGCATATATATATATATAAAACATAGAACTTTTATTAACAAAACAAATAAAATACACCATGCTATAGGGCAGGCTATGCCTAATATAAAATATCAAATAACTTGCATAAAGTTTACATGTACAAAACTGGAAACAAGTAAACGTGTATAATATATAACCAAATAAATAAGAAACGTAGAATGTTTTAGCAAAATGAGTAGGAAAGCTTGGAGGCATGGCATACACCTTGATGTCAAATAAAATAAATAAATGACACAAAGTTTAAACAAAGTAAAAATCAGCAAACAATGTGGAACCAATTAAATAAGAAACAAATGTTTAAAAACACCTTCCAAAATCACCTTAGATAAACGGCAAAAGTCAACAGGCTTTTCAAAATCCAAAATACTGCCAAACAGGTGCTTTTGCATTTCGTTTCGAAACTAAATCATCCGCGATCGTCTTGTCTGTCTCACCCCACTCTTCTTGTCAGTCAGCTCGACTCACTCTCCTCACTGGAGAAATGAAATCTGATCTGTGATGAAACTATCGTTCAACTGCATTGAGCAGCCGCGTTCAGTTTTTAATTGTAGTGTCTGTTTTTTTTTGCTGAACTAAATTATTTTTATTACTATAAAAAAATCAAAAAGACGGTGGGGGTCTGTGACGCGGTGGGCAAGTGACGTAACCGGTGTCGTGGCTTAACAACGGTATCACCGTCAGCACCATCTATTGCGGCAAGCCTAGTCCTCATGCTCTCAGACTTTTGTTTAATCAGTCTCCCCCTTGTCTTTCCCTCCCTTCTTTAATTTCATAGACGGTGAAGGGTTCATCTGCTGACTGTGCATGCGGGAGGGAATGTTTGGCAGCTTTTGGTCTTTATGGTCTCTATGGTCAATGGATAGATAGCTTTGACTTGTGGAAGTCAACTTTTTTTTAAACTTGTCACTAAGGAACCATAATCTTACTGGCAGTTACATTTTTGTTGAAATTGCAAGAATAACTTATGGCAGTGTTGGTAGCATCAGTAAATGTTTTATATTATATTGTTTTTTATTAAAAGTGCCTGAATTATGATATGACTCTTGGTGTGTCTTTTCTAAAAATACAGTTATTATTTATACAATATTGCAAATGTTCTTTATAAAAAAACCTGTTCCACCTGTGCTGACTGAACGTCTAGAAACACTTTCTGCAAATATACATGTGAATTAATACAGTGGAATAGTCAACACTGAGCCAAAGCAAACTGAGTCTACAAGTTATTCTAGTTTAATACAACAATAGTGAGTCTGCTAGAGAATGGTCTGCCCTCACAGACACACCGGCTGCTGCATTCATGCAAATACAACAACATGCTTTTCATGTTCAAATGTCCTGTAACAAGAAGCTTCTAATCTAATGGAGTGCTTGAGAAATGAGGTGTAAGTGAAGAGATTCCTTCCTGTGGAGACCTACACTAAATTGGAATACCCAGAAGGCCATGTGTACTAAGAGTGCTGTACTGTAACTTCAGTTGAAATCAGATGTGGCCCTTCTTCCTTTTCCGTTCCTGTCAGGTTGTTCTTTCCTGTTTTTATGGAAGCATCTCCTTTCACATACATTCAAACACGTGCCAATATTCACCAGCATGCAAACTCTAAGGCTCTTGTCATGCCAAGGATATTGTTTGCAGTAAAACTAGACCAAAATGCTTTGAATATGACATTCAAATGTGATCACCTCCGATCATACGTCATTTTTTTTTTTCCATTTATTGGCCTATTTATATAAGCAAATTCTTCTTAATATCACCACCTACTTTCCATAAAGCTTCGATAAGCCTGCAGGCTCCGGCCTTTTAATTTTTAATGTTTATTTTGATACTGTGTTTGTGTGTTTCCACACTTGACTGTTTTTGCAACAGTTTCTTTTTATCAAGAATTCCCATTGATTGTTGACCACCTTTTGTGTTGTAGCGCTATTGAATTTCAGGATCAGCATTTTCAAAGATAAGATATATAACTGATACAACTGTTACAATACATAGTTATTATTTCTCAAATTATTTTATTAACTTATTTAAATTACTGTTTACTAAAAGATTGTGCATTTGTTAATAATTTTTTACATTTATTTTATAATAACATTTTATTAGTAGTACTGTATTAGACTAAAGCATGCAGACTATATTTAAAAAAAAATTGCAGCATTTTGAGGTTTAATAATCGCACATGACCATATCATGATTTCCATTGGAACTTTCAAACCCACACATGCAGACGTAGGTTTATGATGTGCGGTTGACAGTGGACTCTCACTTGTTGTATTTCACAATCTCCATTTATTGGCCTATTTATATAAGCAAATTCTTCTTAATATCACCACCTACTTTCCATAAAGCTTCGATAAGTCTGCAGGCTCCGGCCTTTTAATTTTTAATGTTTATTTTGATACTGTGTTTGTGTGTTTCCACACTTGACTGTTTTTGCAACAGTTTCTTTTTATCAAGAATTCCCATTGATTGTTGACCACCTTTTGTGTTGTAGCGCTATTGAATTTCAGGATCAGCATTTTCAAAGATAAGATATATAACTGATACAACTGTTACAATACATAGTTATTATTTCTCAAATTATTTTATTAACTTATTTAAATTACTGTTTACTAAAAGATTGTGCATTTGTTAATAATTTTTTACATTTATTTTATAATAACATTTTATTAGTAGTACTGTATTAGACTAAAGCATGCAGACTATATTTAAAAAAAATTGCAGCATTTTGAGGTTTAATAATCGCACATGACCATATCATGATTTCCATTGGAACTTTCAAACCCACACATGCAGACGTAGGTTTATGATGTGCGGTTGACAGTGGACTCTCACTTGTTGTATTTCACAATCTAGTTCTAGTCAACAAAATCTTGGATCAAGTTACAGCTCTGTTTTGTTTGGTGCTGTAGGTTTTTCTCTGTGTTTGCATGTTTGTTGTTATCTTGCGTAATTGCTATTGGGAACAATTCTCAACTAAAACTAACTGAACAGGTTTATAATATTTCGTGATAGTGATTAAATGTTTATACTGCCATTTGACCTAAAGTGTTTATACTGCCATTTGACCTAAAGTAACCTCTAAATGCAACTTTCAATTTGCAGTGTACTCTGCAGTTGTAAAATAATCATTACATTCCTGTGCTGTGGTCCTTCATTAAACCTAACATTCCTGTATCTCTGTTCCAACTTAGCCCGCACCAGCACTGTGATGGCAGAGTTTGGGAGGTTTTATGAGCAGCAGTATGCCGTGGCTTTGTTCAACAGTGTGCGCTACGAGATCGAAGGAGGAGGGAATACCCAGACACAACTGCTACACAGAAAGGTAAACCCCCCCAGATAGTTAAAGAATGGAAAAATAATGTGAAAGAATATTGGCCACACCAGGTTAAAATGAGATCAGAAGTAAAGCCTTCTTGCTTCAGTTTTTCCTCATTATTGTTATTATAATTTTTTTTTTTGGCTCTGCTGTACTGTTTATCTCAGTTTGAAGGCTCTCTGTGCTTTTCGGCATGAAGTTGGCGAAGAGGAAGTGGTGCAGATTTCACACGAGTTAAATAATTGTAACGCAGGCCTGAATAGCCAAGAATGGAAAAATAATGTGAAAGAATATTGGCCACACCAGGTTAAAATGAGATCAGAAGTAAAGCCTTCTTGCTTCAGTTTTTCCTCATTATTGTTATTATTATTATTTTTTTTGGCTCTGCTGTACTGTTTCTCTCAGTTTGAAGGCTCTCTGTGCTTTTCGGCATGAAGTTGGCGAAGAGGAAGTGGTGCAGATTTCACACGAGTTAAATAATTGTAACGCAGGCCTGAATAGCAAATACACACACAAAAGCACACGAAGACTTCAGACGCCATTACATCGACTGAAGAATCAAAGGATCTTGGGTAGACCTTGCTTAATAATGCAATTTCCACCAAAATTATGCTGGTGCTGGTGCTAGCCCATGTTTCCACCGAGTCTAAGGATGGTGTAACCGACAGTATAACTTGCCCACAAATAAAGCATTATTGTACTTGTTTACTTGTTTGTAAAAAAAAAAAGTAATGCAACTGCCAAAAGCAGTTATAACACATACAATTCATAGCAATCAATTCATATAATTAATATCAGTTGAAGTGGCTGGAGCTGCTGTCCAATGCATGGGAACTTAGCATCCATCAACTGAATGTGCATCGCTCAGAGCGTTCCCAGTTTAGAAGACTTTGATTATAATGGGAATGATCTGCTTAGTTTTGCCAGGCTAAGTTGTTGTTGTTTTGAAAACTTTACTTGTTATGGATGTTATCCCACCCTCCTGGCCTCTGATATTCTTCTGGGTTGAGACAAGCAGGTCTCGGGAGCTGAAACCTTTTCTGCAGTGTAAAAAATCTGTCAAATAGTTCCAGGTCAGACACCAGCACGTTGTTAGCGGCAATGGTTTGATTGCATTAGGTTTGAAAGATGTTCTGTGTCCCCCGGTTATCTTGGTTATCTCATCTAATGCATAGAGAGTTAAAAACTCATCAGGCTTTAATTGTTAACATTTTACTTTCTTATTGGTCTCCAAACTCTCCTGGCCTCCCCAATTAGCAATTGTCCATGAAGTCATTTGATCTCTCTACTCAACACAGAAATCTAGACCGTGGCCAAGAAAAATGCTTGTGAACTCATTTTTAAAGTACCTCCGTAGTTATGAGCCAGGACAGCTGGACTTGAAAAATATCTGTCTGCATTTATTTGTATTTAGTTTCAAAGATTAACCGTGTTCAAAGGCATGCGCATCCACCAGTGGTAAATTCAGCATCCATTAGCAGAAAGCAGTGGTTTTGAATGTAGACATAACACAAGCTTGAATGTCTTTTATGAACCAGTTGCTCCACCCATTTCTTATTTTAGGCTGAAGCGCTCAGATCCATGTTATATAAACGCATCTCGAGCTGGCCTTTTGTTATTCTAGACTGTTAGGAGTGTTTCACGTTGGTCTTCTAAACATCATTCATAGTTTTTTTTTTTTTTTTTGTCTTGTTTTATTTTTCATTCATTTAAATGTTTGTTCTCACCACAGGACCCTCTGAAGAACAAGTCCATCTTCTCTGGAAGTCTGTTTCAGTATCTGGAAGAGAGCAAAAAATGGAGGAGCCGCTTTTTGTATGTGGGCGACTCCTACAACATCAGCTTGTATGAGAGCAAAGCGGTAAGTGTAAACCACTGAGCATGGGGTTTTTTGTTTTGTTTTGTTTTTTATGCTTTCACCACAAACACGCCCGGCTGAGATGATTAAATGTAAACAAAAGAAAAATGATCTGAACGTTAATCTTGCATTACTGAACCTAACTGAAATCTAAAGTGAAACCACTGAGCATGGGGTTTTTTGTGTTTTGTTTTTTATGCTTTCACCACAAACACGCCCGGCTGAGATAATTAAATGTAAACAAAAGAAAAATGATCTGAACGTTAATCTTGCATTACTGAACCTAACTGAAATCTAAAGTGTTCTGCTGATAGTGGACATGTTTTTCATTTCCTCAACTGCAGAGTGATTCTGAGCTGTGCGTTTTCCTCTACAGGCACATGATCGAGGTCTCCACTCCAAAGGGGTCATTAACTGTGCCGGGTACAGAGCCCTGACCTCTATGGAGGAATACCTGGGACTTCTCAACAATAGCCTGGGTGGTGAGAAATGAATTAATACAATAAATAAATAAATAAATAAATGGATGCAAAAGTGGCATCGTCAGAAAATCCTACTGGAATCCTGAAAGATCCTAACTGAAATGTAGCACAATATTATTTTAATAAAGTCCAAGTATGAACACGTTGACTTCTCAACAATAGCCTGGGTGGTGAGAAATGAATTAATACAATAAATAAATAAATGGATGCAAAAGTGGCATCGTCAGAAAATCCTACTGGAATCCTGAAAGATCCTAACTGAAATGTAGCACAATATTATTTTAATAAAGTCCAAGTATGAACACGTTATATCTATTAGGAATAAAAAATAAATGAATAATAATTTAATAATATTATAATAATTTTTAAAATTTCAGTTTATGTAATTGGTTATTTATATTTATTTTATTTATGAGTTTTTATTTGATCTCCTGATATAATTTTCAATTTATTTTATTTTTTGTCTAGAATACAGGATAAATGTAGGATGAGTTCTCTGAACACTCTGAATACAGTGGTATATTGCCTATTCAGTCTAAACAGTATAATTTGTAATCATGTTCTTGTATTGTCATCTGTTGTTATAGATACAAAGGCCAAATCAGCCAGCGCCCCGTTTCTGAAATATTTTTAAAATTTCAGTTTATGTAATTGGTTATTTATATTTATTTTATTTATAAGAGTTTTTATTTGATCTCCTGATATAATTTTCAATTTATTTTATTTTTTGTCTAGAATACAGGATAAATGTAGGATGAGTTCTCTGAACACTCTGAATACAGTGGTATATTGCCTATTCAGTCTAAACGGTATAATTTGTAATCATGTTCTTGTATTGTCATCTGTTGTTATAGATACAAAGGCCAAATCAGCCAGCGCCCCGTTTCTGAAATGCCCCACACAGTTTCCCCTCATCCTGTGGCATCCATACGCCCGCCATCACTATTTCTGCGTCATGACGGAGAAAGAACAGAAGAAGTGGCATGCTGTCTTCCAGGACTGTGTGAGACACAGCAACAACGGTGAGTCCCGGTCAAGCATTTGTACTGTTTTTAGATTGACACTACATTTGTTTCTCTGTAAGTGTATCTGCTTTGCTGAGTTTAAAAAGACCTGGCTTATCTACTTCATTTATATCACAATCGCAGGAAACAGTAGCTCACATGTTAATTTGTTGATTTGTGTGTGCAAAAGATGCACACTGCCATGAGGAAGTTGCTGTAGTTTTTTTTTTACGTAAAGCCGTTGGAGGAGTAGATTTTGCCTTGTCTGCTACTTTCCTGTGATGCAAAATATCATTAAAATGGAACTCCATTCCAGAACATTTGCTGCGTAATCGTTTCTTTCTGATTTGTGTCACAATGAGAGATGAATGAACGGAGAGATTCGACCTGCGAGATTAGTCTTTCCTCCCCATAACTCAAACATTGTCTAAAGAGCATTCTCTGCATGCCTTTGTAAAAATTCATAGTATTGCATTACCTTTAACTCCACCCTCACAAATCACCTGTCTTCTGGCTTATTATTTCAAATCACACAGCAGGGTGTGTGTCTATGCCTGTGTTTGTGAGGGGGGAAAAGTGTTTGTCATAGCTTGAAATGTCGAATGCTTTTGAAATGACTTTAAGGTGTGGAGGATGTTCCTTTTGCAATTTAACTGATGTTAAATATCCCATGCAAGAACAGAGACCTTTTAATGCTCTTTGCTGATGACATATAATTTTTAATTCCTCATTAGAATGCATTGATATTGTCTTCTAGGAATTTCTACATAGAAATCCAATTCCAAAATGATTTAATCAAGTCAAATTTAATAGTAGGTACTATTTTGTTTTACTGTTCAAGTTTTTTTTTTGAAGAATTTATATAAAATAATAATAAATATATACATTATTCACAGTAAAGACATTTGTAATCTTACAAAAGAAATCTTTTTCAAATAAATGCTGTTCTTTTAAACATTCTATGCATTAAAGAATCCTGAGAAAATGGTTTCTACAAAAATATTAAGCAGCACAGCCGTTTTAAACCTTGATGACAATAAGAAATGTTTAGAGTATCAAATAAGTATATTAGAATGATTTCTGAAGTATCAAATGATACTGAAAACTTGAGTAATGGATACAAAAAATTCAGCTTTGCCATCAGAGGAATAAATTGTTTTAAAATATATTTTATTACAATAGAACAAAAGATATTTAACATTGTAATAATATTTCACAATATTACGGTTTTTACTGTGCTTTTGATCAAATAAATACAGCCTTAGTGAGCATAAGAGACTTATTTGAATGGTGCAAATCAATGAAATAAGATTATTAAAAAATAATTACTACATTTGCTTATAAAGTTAAGAGTTAAAAGAGTGTCTTAAGAATGTGGCACTATAGACGTTGACCAACTAATAAAAGGAGGTATTGTATTTATTGGCCGATATAAGCATTGCACAACTTGCAGAGCAGCATAGCGCCAACATGTTGACTGCTAACTGAACATCCTCTGACCATGTCAACACCTTCCCATAATGCCTTGGGGCACTCTCATTTAGGCTTGTCAAGGCATGACCGCAAATTACTAGTTTTGTGGATCACAAATGATAATGACATAAGGTTTCAAGACCAGATCCCTTACAATTTATGCAGATATATAACATCAAATACCTCTTGTAATCTCACTGGGAAGTGATGAGAAGTAGCTAAATATGATTTAGAGGTGTGTCTAATAAACCGTAAAGCTATATCACTCACGGCCTTCCTTTGGGGAAACCCAGACCTCTCTGCTCTCCACAGTCAAAGATTGAACTTTTAAAGGTGGGACCTTCAAGTCACTCATTAGCCAGGGGCTGCATGCAGTGACCGTCCTGCTGATTTACCTGCAGAAACTAAACTATACACGCCATTTGACTAACATATTGTGGCATTTTTTTTATATTTTCTGGAGAAAATATGTTGGACTGGGCTTGATTTTATCCATTGGGAATTAAAAAGTAGGGTTTTGAAGACTAAAGTTTAACCTTGAACATCTTTTTTTCCAAATGGTTCTGCTTCCTTTAATTAAAGTGAAGTGATGTGTGACCCATACTCGGAATTTGTGCTCTGCATTTCACCCATCCAAGTGCACACGTACAGCAGTGAGTAGTGAACACACGCACCCGGAGCAGTGGGCAGCCATATTACTGCAACGCCCGGGGAGCAGTTGGGGTTCGGTGCCTTGCTCAAGGGTCAGAAGAAGGGTCTCAGTCGTGGTATTGAGGGTGGAAGAGAGTGCTGGTCATTCACTTCCCCCACCAACAATTCCTGCCGGACCTGAGACTCGAACCCGCAACCTTTGGGTTACAAGTCCAACTCTCTAACCATTAGCTTCTAACATGCACAAGCGCAAACACAAGCTTAAATAGCGGTTTCATTGTTGCTGTATATTAACCAATCATCTTGTGACATCAAGAAAAACAAAAGCAGAGGTGAATCAAGTACATTTTGATGAAAGATTATTAAGCCATTATTTTCTTTTAAATAACTTGGACTATAATTCATGCACAATAAGATGAGTGATGTGCTATAGTTAGGGTAAAAGAAGAAGGGTTGTTCCTCAGCCCTTTTCACATATTGATTTAAAATTAACATGTAACGGGACTTCATCCCAGATCAATATGTACAGCAAACATTGTGAGATCTTTAGTTTGCCTCCAGGCTTTTTAAGATCCTAAAGGTGAGATATGGTGCCTGACTTGGTAACAGCCCAAAACAAAGTCACAAGTGCTAGAAGTTACATAGGGAATATTATTTGCCTTTGAGGCAGCAGGGAATGGCGCTGCAAAATCCATGAGACCTGCCTGAAGCCGAGGGCTGAGAAGACATGAGGTAGTTGCTCCAGATACATGGGACCGCAGCTCTGTGTTTTGGCTAGAGGGTTACCAGAGGGCAGAGAAGATCAACCACATGCAAAGCTGTGGTATTACAGCAGGTGCTCAAAGTGCTTGAGTTTTATTGCATTAGAAAGAAATCAAGATGAATTATACACAAAGTTCTTTCACAGAGCTAAGATGAAGCAAATTACAGATACACACTGTTAAGCTATTTGAATTTGAACTAAGGCCGTATATATGAACTCGATGCATGTTTTAATTGATCTGTTAGCCTTCTGGAATGGGACTAAACCAATAGAGAGATTCAAACATTGTTCGAAATTTGAAAAATGAAAAAAATGATCTCTATGAAATGATCAATCACCATTTTTGTTCATTTAGTAATTGTATTAGTCATTGTTCTGACAGCCTGTGGTGATGGTTAGTCATTTGTTTTGTTGCAGTCGTACCAGTCTCATTGGCAACTTGGACAGTTGGTAATCAATCACATCATCACACCCATTATGACATCATAGTGTGCAGACCATTGGCAGAAAGAAAACAAACAGGTTTTAAAACTGAATTAGAGGTGAAAGACTGTTTCATATATGGAATCATAGACACTGCAATACACAACCAAACACAACACTTTGAATTCAGCTGAAATGTAATAACAGCCCAGTGGGTTCACGCCCACATGTGAACCTGCAGAGCAGTGACTTATGCGATGCCAGTGTTTGTTTTTTGTTTTTTTTCTTTTTCTTTATGTATCTCAAATGTGTGTTAAATGAACCATGCATTTATTTTATTTTTAATCACCCCAACCCCACCTTTCCATTCTAAGAAATGTATTGTATTTCTTTTGTAATTATGACAAACCTTTTTTCAAACTTGTGTACAAATATTAAATTAACTGATTAATTTTGTGATTTAAAATATAAAAATAATAAAATCACTATAAAAATAATAGTTGTTACTATAATAGTTAAGGCGGGAAAAATAAATAAATAAAATCAGAAAAAATTTAAAAAAATAAAATTAGCACATTGATCTTTTTTTTTTTTTAAACAATTGAATTCAAACTAGTTTATGAACAATTTATTAATTTAAATGGGTCTTGGTGTATAAATGTGGGCAGTCACGTTAATCACAATCTGCTTAGTTTTAATTGCTTCGTTTTTTTTGTTTTTTTTTATTTACTGGGGTGGAAGTTTTACGTTCTAACAGTAATATGTTTTCATAGTGCGCTGAATTTTTTTTTCATTGAAATTAAAAAGATTTTGAAAATTTGATTTACACATTATGTGGCCCTTTTAACCTAAAGGGAAACATTGTATTGATGTACATTCACTTGTTTTTGTTTATACTAAAACTGGACATGCAAAAAAAGGTGAATATTAATAATATAAATATAATTAGTATGTACTTGGTAATAATTAGTAAGTTAGTCCATGGTGGGGTTTATCTTTGCTTGCTCTAGAAATATCTTTCCTTCAGATTTGGAAAGAAATGTCATTTTAAAAAGCTAAAATGTTTTCCTTGGTTCTCATTATTAATTCAGAGATGAGATGTTTTTTCTTGAAACTCGTCTAGTTCTTGTGCTTTTAGCCCAAATGGGAAATGCTCCAGTGAACGGAACGATAACGGTAAGAGTGCACATGTGGTGACAAAGGAACCCTGGGAACCAGCCGTCCCTGGAGTCTTGGCTAACCACTGTGCAGCCCCATGCCAGAGGCAACCCACACTAAACTCCACCATATGTATTATTTTTGCTCAAGACTCTTACATTGAGTTTCTCAGGCCTGCCATTTTGTCGCTGTTTTTATTTATTTTTTTATTCACCTGACACTAAACACACGCACAAACAGTGAGCCACATTCAAATTAGCTTTTGATGTAAGCTGTCTCTAGTTTGTTAGGACTGCTGGTGGTATTACTGGTAAACGTGTTTCAAGGACAAGGGGGTTTAATACTGATTTGAGGTTATTGCATTTTATTGAGCACAGAACTCTAGGGACTTTCTCCAAGCAGACTGCTGACAAACGCATCTAGTGTTTTCTCATGGGGCTCATGCCAAGAAAAGCTAGTTATTTTCTACTTTCCTCCATTCTGTGTGTCTCTCTGTCTCGGCCCCCTTCTCTCTCTCTCTCTCTCTCTCTCTCTCTCTCTCGGAAAATGGATGTTGAGTGGATTTCCTGTTCCTGACAGACTGTTACACACTCCATCCCTCCATCTCTGCTGACTTCCTGTCTTTGTGTCGGCCAATCTGAAACTTACTGCAGCACGCAGATATACACACTCCCCATCAGCAGCTCCTGTCTTGTGAGTGTTTGTGCAGCTTGCCATTGCTCTCGTCCATCTGTGTTTGTCTTTCCTTGCCCATATGTGTAACTTTATGGTTCACTCTCACTTCCTGCTGCCAACAGGAAAGCAATTCTAAAAGGTTATCTTTGTCCCAAAAGACTCGAATCTCCCCCAAATAACATATTTCAGATTGACTTTTAGTAGCGACGAGAGTGTCACTGTTTGATCATCATCTACATGGTAAATTTGAATTCTTTCATCACCTCTAATGTGCAGCTTTTATGCAAACAGTCCTACATCGAGCACATTATCCATATTCACTACAGTGCTATATAATTATATCTCATTTAAGTGTTTTTCCAAGAAGTTTGGTCTTGTGGATTCTCTGTTTGAGTGGTGGTAGCTGTAGTTTCCATCCACAGACTCTTAGTGAATGTGAAGATGAGGTCTTTTTAGTGCAGGTCCTTTTCTTGAGCACAACTTATTAAAATCCATTCCTTTTCCTTGCTGGAAAAACCAGGCCCTGCCAGCTTTACGTGATTTATAGCTGGTCCAAGTTGGTCTACCAGTCGTCACCAGCTTGGACCAAAAAATCAAAAGATGGTTAGGATTATTCAGACTGCTACTTAATTGTCAAAACCTCTTGAGGCCAACCGAACTAAACTGTCTAAATTAATATTGTTAGTGCAAATTTTAGATGGTTTTAGATTCTATTTTATATTTTTACATTAACAATGCAATCAATATTATATTTATTAAAGCCAAGTATGAATCTCATGAAGTTAGTGTTTTTAAGCATTTTACATTTATTCCAAAATAATGAATCAAGGCAGTAACAATTTAAACAATATATATTTTTTTAATGAACTTATGTTCAGCTATTCTTTTTAATAGTTAAATATTTTAGAATTTTTCGGATCATCAGTCATCAAAGCTCAGTAAATATTGGTCACAGACTCGGAGATTTACTTTAAATTTCACCAAGCTTTAATACTTTTATATGTAAATTGCCCATTATGGCTGGCTAACCTCCATGAGCTTCATATTGTCATTCATTAAGTGGACCAAATATTTGAATAAGTGTTTAATGTGGGCGGTCATATCTTAATGTGCAAATATTTGTGATATCATACGAATTAATCTTTCTGAATGACCCATTTCTCCCTCCCAAACTAATTTAAATGCATAACCACACCAAATACAATATTTTAGTTCTTTGAGCCTATTTCTAAAAGACTGGCTATTTTAAAGCTTTATCTTGATAAATCAGACTGATCACTCCGTATTTAAGCTCTCTACTGTGCTGGAGCAGCACAAACCCTCAATGTCTAAACCGCAGAGCAGAGAGACAGCTGAGAATGTGCCATTAGAGGGCTGAGTTATGGTCAGGTCTGTGTGGTTTATCCTGCCGTCTCATTTTAGTCATAATGTGCTAGAAATAACCTTTTAGTTTCTAATAGATTAAGGAATGTCCATCTCGCTCGCTTTCTCATGTACACACACAGATTTGAAAAAATGCAAACGGGCAATCATTAAAATGTATTGGGTGCTTGTTGCCCTTACACCTCACGCTCTCATGCACGCGCGCGCACGCACGCGCACACACACACACACACATAACCATGCAGTGCCCGTAAAGGGGACCCTTAATGGAAAATAGTGTTTTCTTTTTATCAATGACATAAAATTTGGAGTATCAAAGTATGTCAAGTATTAAAGGGGTCATATGACATTGTTAAAAAGAACATTATTTTGTGTATTGAGTGAAATGAAATGTTTATGCGGTTTAAGTTTCAAAAAACTTATTTTCCACATACTGTACATTTATTGTTTCTCCTTTCACAATGAAACACACAGCGTCTCCACGACATGGCGGCGGCAACAACACTACAGCGAGAATCAAAGTTATGCCGCCTTTCTTTGCGTGAACATTTGGGCGTCGTTATGCAAATCTTTCCACACAGTGACGTAGACATGTGGGGGCATGTTTAAACGAGGAGTTTTTGGAGGGTGTGGACGAGTCTTAACTTTTATAAAGAATATCTCTTTGGGTTTGAGACTTTAGTCTTTGCAACTTTAGGGATCTTATCTATTCACGAACCGCTTGTAACACTCCAAAGAGAAATGAAAATTGAAATGGCATCATATGACCCCTTTAAATGTTTGGTTCTCATATACTAATTTACAGTAATTTAAGCAAATATATATATATTTTTTTTAATATTAAAAGCGTTTTTCCGCTGCATGTGATGTTAGGTGTCAGTTGATCTGGATTTAAAGTGAGCATTGTTTTTGTTTTGTTTTTTGTAATACAAATAATTATCTGTATCAGTGCATCCCTACATAAAATGGTTAATTTTGCACTTAAATTTTTGTCAGTTTGTCACTGAAAGCTATCAAAAGGTGATTGAATTAAGTTATTAAATGCCATTGAATATCTTCACCTCTACTATAGGGTTCTCATATACTAATTTACAGTAATTTAAGCAAATATATATATTTTTTTTTTTTATATTAAAAGCGTTTTTCCGCTGCATGTGATGTTAGGTGTCAGTTGATCTGGATTTAAAGTGAGCATTGTTTTTTTTTTTTTTGGTAATACAAATAATTATCTGTATCAGTGCATCCCTACATAAAATGGTTAATTTTGCACTTAAATTTTTGTAGTCTGTCACCCCGCCTTCTTAAAAGTCCTGTGTTGATGAATGTAGCAAATGGACAATGCAGTGCACACGTTTGAGCAGTTGGTCCATCAGAGTCTAGACGGCCACAGCACGGAGGATCTCTGCAAGACCATCCAGCGCTGTCAGGACCGTGTACTCAAAGTAAGTGCATTAGTTGGGTCTTCAATCTGCCCTGCAAAGCTGAAATGGGTTTCATTACACAGCTCCTGGATCTTTGTTATATTAGAGAATTTTTAAAGACTTCATTTTAATTCTGTTTGTTTGTGACCTGCAGAAATATGACTATGACAGCAGCACAGTGAGAAAGAAGTTCTTCAGGGAGGCTTTGCTTCAAATTATTATACCGTACATGCTGAAACAGCTCTCCCCTTCGTGTTCACCGGTTGGTACAAGGAGTCAGCCTTTCTCAGTGACGTTGTTTTATTGTTTTTTTCCATTGTTTTTATGCTAATAGGTCATTTTTCCTACTGTTAGTCTTTTAATATTTCTCATATGTTAATGGGGCTCAGGCCAAAAATGGCACCAAAAGAGATAAAATGACCCAGATATTAAAAATGTGTGAAGTTAATTTTGCACTTAAATTTTTGTCAGTTTGTCACTGAAAGCTATCAAAAGGTGATTGAATTAAGTTATTAAATGCCATTGAATATCTTCACCTCTAGCCTATAGCTTTGAAATCCCTTTTATTTTGTGTACATTCAAGTCTGGTGCGTCACTGTTAGTCACAAGATGCCACTTAGTGTGCATTAATTAGTTTTAAACTTTGTTTTTATCAAATGAGAGAAGACAAATGTATTTTCTGTGGTAATCAACGGCATCAGAAGATTTACCTTTTATAGCTTAGGTTGTATGAAACCAGGAATATTCCTTCAAAAGCACACATGCAGAAATTGTTTGTTTTGGGCTTTAAATGCTGGTGGTTGTTTTTGTTTTTTTTGCTTCCTTCCAGAACACACCCAGGAAATGTTTCTTATGAATGAGCTTTTTGTGTGTTTGCATGTGTATAAAGCCAATTCATTTAACCAGGGAAAAGTACTACGAGTTGTATATAAAGAAGGTATTGACGTTGTGCGTGTGTGAGAGGCATGGCCATTCCTCTTCATTCCGCCCTCAGCAGTTTTACAGGGCGTCACGGTCAGCCTGGATGTGACGCCACACTGGAAACCGCTGCGTGGGCTGTTATTACTGCTGGGTGTGGGACGTTTGTTTTTTGTTTTTCTGTCAGGGGGTCTGCATGGTGTTCCTTGCCCACCTGGCCCCTGCGTTGCTATGGACACTGGGCAAGGGTAGGGGTGATCGGTTCTCTACTATTTACTGTTGGATGAAACTGTCAGAAGCTCATGGATTTAAGAGGAACTTGAACTCAACTGCGCTCACCCAAACATCTTTAAATTAACTTCTTCATATAGTTATTGATACCAGTTTGTTCAGCCAAGCCTATAGCAGTCATTTGAGTTCAATTAGCAATTCCTCACGTAAATTAGTGTGACCTAGAGGTGCTTGATTGTATGTGCATGGTGTGGCCGGATGCATTACAGGTGACCTGCTAATAAACCCCAAACAAATGTGTCCGTCATTGTCAGGTCAGTGAACCTGTTATGTTTGTGGTGTGTTATGATAAATCAATTGTCCCATCCCTAAAAACACATGAAAAGAGCGGACTTGTTCATGCAGACACGTTTCTCACCATCAAAGGTTGTTTCTGTTTTGGCTGGCACTGCAGTGAACATGAACAAAGCAGCCATCTGTGATGGGTGTCTATGTTGTGGATTTGAACGATAAAGCATTGTGCTTCAGGAATTGATAGTTTGACATTGTACAGTCAGCAGTCTGTGATGGTGTAGATACTGAAGATATGCATGCAAAACCACTGAGCTGCTGGCATGAAGTTAATGATGCGCTCGAAGCGGTCTTATCAGTTTCTTAAGCACTATTCAAATTCTGCCATCATTATCCGGTACTTCCAGTTGCTGTGTAACCATTAGCTTTTTCCATCTACATCTGTGTGCTTGTGTGTCTAGATTCTTGCTAACCTGGTGATGGAGACTTTGCACCCTGAACTGAAAAATCTGATCGTACCTCGGCTGAAAGGAAAACTACAACAGAGACAGAGGGACTGGATGCTGGTTGGTTCTCATATGTAAATTCTGAAGCTGTAAAAAGAATCGAAAAGAGACCTTATTGAAATACTTTTGTCACTGGATTAAGGAGTTAATTTATACTTGTAGGTGTATATCTGCTGCAGTTTCTTTGAGGTTTGTTTTTCCCTGTCAGATCTCAGATGCAGTATACAGACAGGTGCTGTCACAGACAAAGACTCAACACGAAGCTCTGGCTCAAGTATGTGAGGTGGAGCGCCCCCGTCTGGACTCTGCTCTACGCACAGATATGGACCAAATCATCACGTCCAAAGAGCACGTTTCAGCAAAGATCCGTGGTAAGAGAAGATCCAAGCAACCTTCTCTGTGGAGATTACTAATGTTCCCTCTAGCATCTGTCATACATGGCCACACACAACTGATGTTGCTTTAAAAAAACTCTCTCAAAATAGCAAGAGCAACACATTGCCTGATTCATGACAATTAAGATCTTAAGATGCTATTATTGTTTTTAGAGAGTAGTGCTTAATCATCAGTCTTTTTATTGTGTTCTGATGATTTAGTATTACTGATTCTACACCGATTATGACTTCATTTAATCCACAGATTATGGCACAATTTATTTTAATTGTCTTATCCTATTCATAGCTGTTCTATTTCAGTCTCACATTCTTCCACACGATCCCTCTTTCATTGGAATTCAGTCTCGCTCAACATAGTTTGGCTTTAATTTAAAAAACTCAGACCATCCTGCCATGATGTAGGTTTGGCAAAAGTACTACATTTTTCCCATATCACTTTTCAAATAACATTAGCAAAATGATCTTGATGGCATGTTTTTGAGTATTTGTACAATTCTCTAAATTACTTTAGAGTCCATCTGTGTGTTTGTGATGGCTCCTTTATTTTTACTGAATAATAGTGGTTGTTTTGACACATAGACAGGTGCTTTCCTACAATCACTTGTTCACAGATACCAGGGCCCATTATGTGGCCTAGAGTCATTGTGATCACATGTGCTCTGAATATTTTACATAAATTTAAAGCTTCAGTTTTCATGAAATCACATGCAAGTAAACCACAACACATGAGTTTAACGTGAAATATGGACTAATATTTGTCTAATCCTCTTCTTGAAGCATTGGTTTTACCCTGCATTGAACAGCTTGTGAGAAGCAAGGTTCAGCCCTACATCCATTCTATCCTGGAGGCCCTCATGGAGCCCACCAGCAGAGGCTTCTCTGAAGTGAGGGATATCCTCTTCAGTGAGCTGGTGGAGGTCAGCAAGAACACAATGAACGATAGCAGCAGGGAAAAACTGGGAGAGGTGAGGCAGGACTTTGATTAACAATGTTAGCAGAGCCTTTTTAAACCAGTAGTTAATTCAAAAACCTCTCTCCATACTCATTCCTAGCATATGGACAAGATTTCCATGTTGGCCTTCCATCCGGTGAAGATGCAGAGTTGTTATGAGAAGATGGAGGCGCTGAATCTTGAAGGCCTCCAGCAGAGATGTGACGTGTCCAGTCCCTCTGTGTTCATCCAGAGAGCTCAGATCCTCATGAGACAGGTGTTTTTCCAAATATTCATTTTTAAATATTCCATTTGGATATCTAAAACTTCTTGAAGTCTTGCAGAACTTGGTACTAGCACTTGAAATTGATTTGATATTAATCATTCCATAGCCTTAATTTTTCTGGTGCCTACCAACAAAATAAAAAACAAGCATTTTCATTGATTAAGCACTGAGGCCAAGAGCATGAATCAATGAGAAAAATGGCTAAAGAATATTAAAGAGAAAGCAATTTATTGTTAAAGTGCGCTGCCCAGGGGTAATACCTGTTATTGCAGCTATATTGGCAATTGAGACTCCTACTGATAGCTATCTAGCTATCCATCTATGCAGAAAATGTTCATACGGAGTAATTTTACTATGTGGCATGTAATTCCAAAATAGCCTTTGTCCTATAGAAATATAGAATTTTTCAAATAAACCATCAAAGTTGATGACCGTCTGTCACCCCGCCTTCTTAAAAGTCCTGTGTTGATGAATGTAGCAAATGGACAATGCAGTGCACACGTTTGAGCAGTTGGTCCATCAGAGTCTAGACGGCCACAGCGCGGAGGATCTCTGCAAGACCATCCAGCGCTGTCAGGACCGTGTACTCAAAGTAAGTGCATTAGTTGGGTCTTCAATCTGCCCTGCAAAGCTGAAATGGGTTTCATTACACAGTTCCTGGATCTTTGTTATATTAGAGAATTTTTAAAGACTTCATTTTAATTCTGTTTGTTTGTGACCTGCAGAAATATGACCATGACAGCAGCACAGTGAGAAAGAAGTTCTTCAGGGAGGCTTTGCTTCAAATTATTATACCGTACATGCTGAAACAGCTCTCCCCTTCGTGTTCACCGGTTGGTACAAGGAATCAGCCTTTCTCAGTGACGTTGTTTTATTGTTTTTTTCATTGTTTTTATGCTAATAGGTCATTTTTCCTACTGTTAGTCTTTTAATATTTCTCATATGTTAATGGGGCTCAGGCCAAAAATGGCACCAAAAGAGATAAAATGACCCAGATATTAAAAATGTGTGAACACGCATATATTATTTATGACTGTGTAATTTATTAATTTATTATTAAAATGTTAATAAAAAAAAAAAAAAAAAATAAAAAAATATATATATACATAATATATATATATATATATATATATATATATATATATTATTTGTAACCAGATAATTAATTCCATATGATTTGTTGATCTTTTACAGTTCATTTATAGATGCAGCCTAATTATTGATCATGTATTTTAAATGATAAATATACATATTTTACAGAAAATTAGAAAACATGGTGTGTTTTGGTGTTATATGGGGGGAAAAAAACTTTTTGTCTTTGAAATCTAGGATCTGCCCAAGTTCAAGGAGCTCATCTTTGAGGACTTCTCTAGATTCATACTAGTAGAGAACATCTTTGAGGAAGCTGTCCTGCAGTCAGTCAGCAAGGACATCATGATGGGTGAGTGTCTGCAGCCCCTTCAGCACAATATAGCACAGCCTCCATACCTTACTTCTTAAAAATAGAGTTGCAATGTTTTCCACTCATTCCTTTTAATTTTGCAGCTGTGAAGGAAGCTGCGGTCCAGAGAAGGCACAACCTGTACAGAGACAGCATGGTCCTGACCAACAGTGACCTCAACCTGCACCTTCTGGGAGAGGACACCATCGACTGGGCTGGCCAGTTCGGAGGAGTAAAAGGAGAGAAGCAAGGTGGCGAAATGGCCAACAGGAAACGCAAACAGATCGTCTCCATGATCCACCTGGACGGGATACCTCTGCCATACGAGTCCTGCCAGGAAATACCAGGAGTGGACTGCATCCCAGAGGAGTACGAAGGGCAGGCAGGACAAGATCTTGAATCCAAAAAGCCTGTGAACCCAGTACAGCACGTACCTATCGAGAAAGAGCCAGGTTCTCCTGACGGCGTCAATGAGATCCGAGACCTCATAAACCCAGTGCTGGAAGTTGTCGAAAAAGACAGCTCACAGTTGACCAATGGGATGTTGTCTTTGGAAGAGGGCGATGAGGTGAAGCACATCACAACAGTAACAGATATGGTGCCAAGGGAGTCACCAAAAAAGGTTGACAGAGAATCCACACAGATTGAACGGTCTTTAGAAGAGCAGCAGTGCGTATCCGCCATTGAAAGTGCCATTCAACAGATCGAGATCGCCATCCAGGAAGACCCCGGCGATCACCTGAGCGAATGCGCCATTGACTCTGATGGGGAATTCGCTCAAACCTCTATCAACTCCAGCCCTCTTCATCACGATGACAGTGGGTTTCAGTCTCCAGCCAATGAGAATGTAGAAGAAGTGGAGCCTCAGCCTGACACGGGGGACGAGGTGGTGGACACGGAGCAGGTTATGTTAACTCTGGTGGAGGGAGTGAAAACTAGCATTGATTTAGACGCCAAAGCCCCTTGTGATGCTTCAGAAAAGAAATCGGAAATTGAAACCACAGCAGATAGATGTCTGCTTTGAGTGAGATATAAAACATATTTTATAAACTGAAAGTGTTTGCCGAGACACTTTTGTTTGCTTTCCATCTTCAACACTTTATGGTTGATATTTCAGCCAATTCGTTGTTTGTTTTATTTTATTTTTAATTTGTTTTATTTTCTGTTCTTGCATTTTGTGGATGTTTATCGAGGAGAAATTTGTGTGCATATATTCTCATACAGTATATACACAGATTTATGACCTTATGTGCCTTTTTTTTATGTAATTCATGACTCCCACACTAATTATTATGTGGCAGAGGTTTCATAAACTAACTGTCATTAACTTGGACAGTTCCATTTCATAGGGGCCATCTGAAACTTTAGTCTTTTTTGCCTTCCGTTAATTGTGGAACATATTCAAAAACTAATTGTACATGTATAAATTCAGCGTAGTTAAGCACTTAAACAATAACTCTGCAAATGCATTCAAATAAATTAAAGCTGGCTTTTTAATGCTTGTAGACACTTCTTTGTGGTTTAAAAATATTTTTCTATAGAATGCAGACATGCTGTGACCCAGATTCACATCCTCCACCTGTACATGTGTGTTATGGAGGATGGAAACGTCATTACCCATTTGCAGATAGAGCTCCGATCTTCTAGGCAAAGGATTGAAGTAGGTGTAGAAAAATCCTCAGTCAGCTCACATCTTAGTTCAGTAACTTTGTGGAAACCATAGAGGAAAAATTTGGGGAGCTTAACTCATGATGTGTGAATGTGAGGAATTCTGAGGTGTCGTTCAGGACGGGTGGGCAAAGGTTTGCTCTGGCATGTAGCTGTGGGAATTTTTTATTTTTTTTTGCTAGGATCACAAAAGTTAATCATTACTGGACATGTTTTCTGCTCATTTATTGAAGCTAAGCAACATATTGTAGCTCCACAGATATTTCACTGGTTATTTTCTGTTATTTATTTTAAGTGTTGTGATTTTATTTTCTGCATTTTCTGTTCCTTTTGTAAGGCAGCAATGGAGAAATAAATGACATTATTTTGAAATGTGTATGTTGTGCAAATTCGAGATGTTACCATATAATGTACACTAGCATTAAAAAGTTTGGAGTCAGAGTCAAGAACTTATACATTAATTTGATAGTTACATTTAAGACTTATTGTTCTTTTGAACATTCAACTCAAATAATTATGGAAAAATGTATCATGGTTTCCACAAAAATAGAGAACTTTTTTTTCAACTTTTGCTTTCATCAAATCAGCATATTAGAATGATTTCTGAAGGATCTTGTGACACTGAAGACTGGAGTGATGATGCTGAAGATTCAGCTTTGCCATCACAGGAATAAATTAAATGAAAATTTAAAGTAAATTGTTACAACTTTAATAGATTTTTGATCAATTAAATGTAGCCTTGGTGAACTTAAAGCAGCACCATGTAACTTTTTCTGTGTTCAAAATTTGCAAAATGTATAGAATGAGCGAGTACATCATGAATTCATCTTCCAAACCGCGTTTTTGTCTTATTCTGAATCAATGCGGTACACTTATAATAAGTACTTATATTGTAGCCTTGTCGGGTCGTCGCCGCTGCGGAGTAACACATACCTGCGTGAATCGCCATAGACATAAACTTAGAGAAGTAGCTCCGGTTGGAATGTTCTTCCGCGGGATGTGTGCAGTTTTGTTTATTAACCGCTAGAGCGCCCAAAGTTACATAGTGCTGCTTTAATAGCCAAAAACATTTTTTTTTTAATATTACCAGGCCTAAACTTTTGAACAGTAGTATAAATGTGAAGCTACAGTCCTTTTCATACTAAATGCTTTTGTCCTCTGACCATTATTACAAATGGAAAATGATCTTCACTCTATTCTGCAAATATTTTAGAATATATGAAATTATATTCTTAAAAAATATATTAGTGTTTTAAGGCCTTTGGCTAAAATGTAAACTCCAGATTTATGTGGTATTTATCTTATTAAAACGCAAAGACCATTGACAAAGGTGTAGACTCAAAAGCTTTAATACATTCTGCAAAGAAAAAACTAATTTCACTTAAAAACAACTACCGATAGTGCATTTAAATGATCGTGTGAGGATTGTAGATCTCCTATTTCTGTTCTCAGCTAGTCAATCAGTTTCCATGTGTCTGTATTGCTGGTGAACATTAACTAAGGCCACATGATTTGCATTTCTCTTTTCCGCCCAATAGTTTAGTTCAAATCATTGTTTGTTCTGCAATTCAGCAGTAATTTCCAGCATTACCCAAGAACGCCTGATCTTGACTCATGTAGGAAGTTTACAACGACCCATCGCAAGGTTTAAAACTACTGCTTTCCCAAAATAACAGAAAACCACCAGCAACATTAAAGCAAATCTCAGAGAACAACATTTTTTTATACATTCATTTGTGTATCAGAATATTAGCTTATTACATCAGTAGTTGTAGAAAATATAAAACTTGTCAATGAGGCACATCTCCGTTTAGTACAGTGCTGACTGTTTGAACAAAGTCACGTCGTACAACCTCAAACGTAAAATCACATGCGTTAAACACACCATTCTTCACGTTAGATATTGTGTTCCCAACGAGGTTTACAATCGAACCTCTAAAACACTAACCAAATTTACAATTGGTTATCGCCAAACTTCCGTTAAGATTTCATGCATGATCTTTAAAATACAACCTGAAACGTTAAAAATCAGAATCAGCCCTGTTCAGTCTACATATCACAACATCTCTTGCATGTCTTATTGATCATGGCCACACAAACCTGGCATCATTAGATCAAGAGCAACAGGAAACATTTTTGATTTAGAGTCCACAGTCAACTCGGTTGAACATTTCGAGATGCTGCCTCGTGTTTTTGTTCTCTCATCTCTTCTCAAATGTGATTCAGTAGAGGAAAAGCCAGAAAGTATCCCAAGACGGATCCCATGATGACCCCCAGGAAGATCCACACGTTGTAGGACATGACGCAGAGCATGAGCATGTAGCCTAGTGTCACCTGCAGGATGTGAATGGCGGTCTGGAGGCAGTGTAGAAGCCAGCTGAAGATGGAAAGAGACAAAATTAACATTTGTTGTGGGCAGAGATTCATTAAGCTACAATGCTAAAGGTATAAATAATCATCAACTCATTGTTTATCTGTCCACCTGGCCAATTTTGATACGATTGAGATCATAACGGTTCTTGGGAAAACATTTTCCCGGTCGTGTGTTGTTAGTGTCTTGTGAGCATTACCTCGTCTTAGCAGCGGCGGTGGTGTCTGTAGTAACGGCCGTATTCTCGGTGGCAGCTAATGAGATCTCAGAGGGGCTGTTGGTCAGAGCAGAGCTTCCCTCTTGACGCTTCATGGCGGGGGCGAAACAGGATGGTTCCGGTGAGAATGACACCGGAGCGGATGGATGTGTAATGAAGGATTGCTTCTGTTTTCCAATAGTGATCTTCCACACTTTCAGAAGCTCGTAGATCACGGTGAGCAGTAGGACTACAAAGACAGACAGAACCATTCCTGTAGACAGAGAAATCAAGAAGACATATTACACACTTTAAATAGCTAATCCAACTTTTAAAATGAAAGTAAAACGCTTTTTAACTCTGGGGTTTTCTCTAGGGTCCGAGGATCAAAATGTTAATATAAAATGTTTAAATGTAAACCCTTCAGGTTTATATAGCTCAAATTAGTGGTTAAAGGTAGTAAATAATGTTCAGTAAATAACGTTCTGATAACATTTTTTAAATTTAAATTTAAATAAAAGCCAATTATTTAATCCAATTGTTATATATATATATATATATATATATATATAGCATTAAATTAATTTGTACAAATTTAAATTGATACTTATATTAAGCAAAGACTCATTACAAAAGTTTGACACAAAAGTAACAGTAAAAACATTTATAATGTTACAAAATGTGTCGGTTTCACTGTTTACACAAAAGTATTAAAATTATTTTAAATTGTAATTGTAAAACAAATGCATCCTTAGTGAGCATAAGAGACTTTCAGAAACATTAAAAAAAATCTTACTAACCCCAATATACATATATCATTATCTTTTTGACTCCCCTCTGAACGGAAACCAACGGAACAAACCAAATCAGGAACCTGTTGTTTATGGGATTCCCACAGTATGACTGAATACACACACAACTACAGAACATTTACACTATACAATATTTTGTCTATAAAGGTGTGGCACTTCTACAACAAATGTCTGGTATATTTCAAGCTCATAAAGCCGTAACACCTTGCAGGCTCTGAATCTGCAATTTCTTTGTCTTCTACCCCAGATCATTATCCACTGTGCCACACCACCAGTCAAGGTTCATCTCGAAAATACAATTCAGAGTTTAGATTGTGAATCTGATGATATCATTATCTTTTTGACTCCCCTCTATGAACGGAAACCAACGGAACAAACCAAATCAGGAACCTGTTGTTTATGGGATTCCCACAGTATGACTGAATACACACACAACTACAGAACATTTACACTATACAATATTTTGTCTATAAAGGTGTGGCACTTCTACAACAAATATCTGGTATATTTCAAGCTCATAAAGCCGTAACACCTTGCAGGCTCTGAATCTGCAATTTCTTTGTCTTCTACCCCAGATCATTATCCACTGTGCCACACCACCAGTCAAGGTTCATCTCGAAAATACAATTCAGAGTTTAGATTGTGAATCTGATGTTTAAATAATATCAAAAGAGCAAGAGCGGTGTTGTATTGTGATTTGGCAGTATGCATGAAGTCAAGTGCTGTGAGTAAAGCACACACATCCATGCGGATTCGTTTTGAGATTTAGAACAGTACTGTCATAGCATAAAATAAAGCTTGTGTAAACTTCTTTTATTGTGCTTTTGCACCCATTTGCAACTTGAAAAGCAAAAAGAACAACCATCAATTCTGTTTTTTATGTTACGCAGAAGAAATAAAGTCATAGTTTGGAACAGGGTTGTTTTTGTATCATTTGTGATACCATTATAGTTTAGTAATATTTTGAATTTGTTTTTATTTTATATTGTCCATTTTCATTTTAGTTAGTGTTTTTGTACTTAGTTTTTTTTTATGTGTATATATAGTTTATCAACTTTTATTTCTTTAGTTTTACTAAATAAAATTGAGAAATGTTGCCTTTGCCACTATTTTTTATATTTAATTTGGTTTCAATTAACATTTATTTCAAGTGACTTTTTTTTAAATGGTTCTCATTTTAGTTTAATGCTAGTTTGGAACAACATGAGATTAACCTGAATAAGTTAAAGTAATAAAATAACTCAAACTAAAAAATACAGCTAAATAGAAAAAAATAATAATAAACAAAATGACTAAAACTTTAAATAAAATTCTAATAAAAAATACTAAGATAACACTGGAGTAAATGATCATTGTAATGCGTGCGAGAACTCCGTTTAATGTGAAGTAACATGTAAAAGAAAGCAACTTTTGCATCTAACTGATAAAAGAAAGCAAGATGGTCTGGTGGGACATAAACGGTCTTTCTGCATTTGTATGAATATTGTATGATTATGTTCAATCTTGTTTGTAAAAACCCATGTACCTGCAGGCCCCCGCACATCCCAGAAATCAAACAACAGCATGACGTTGCTGGATCCTTCAAAGTGCATCTGCAAATGACAGAACACAAGAACATAATAAGCAGGCTTGTAATTAGTGACATGTTTCCATTGAGGGTTGACTGTTAACCCATCCCGTGGGAAGAGTCTATAAACAGAAGTTAATGACACTAACATTACCTTGTCAAAACCGGTAATACAATCCTACCAGTCTATGATGTTCAATCCTGGACTACGATTATCCACATCGCAAGAATTCAATGCCATCAAGCTTTGCTTTTTGCTTGACTTGCTTAACCCTAGTATGTCAACTGCTGTCAGAAGACACAATATCTCAAAGCTAGATAGGAATCAGAATGGAATGATAGCTGACTTTGTGTTCAGTACTTCTGCAGGTGTTAATGTACAAAACGTCATAAAAGGGTGGTAGAGGAAGCCTTGCCATTTACTCGTGACAGTCACATTACGGGAAACAGCACCTTGAAAGACTGACACATTAAAACTTGTACTAACAAGCGTGCTGCAGGAACTACAGATCGAAGAAAAGTAGACAAGGTTATACTCCAGATCAACAACATTCCACCACTTGCTATAATCATGAGTAAAATCTGCTGTCCAGTCTTCAGAAGCAAAATTGAGGAATTCCATCCAATCCATTCCAAGCGCTGGAGAATTCCTCTACACATTTTGTCCTGTGCGCCGCATATCTTCTGTTCTGGAGATAGTTTTGCATTGGCCAAACGGCGATAAGTGGCTTTTGATACATTTGTGCCCTATCAAGAACTTCCCAGTGTTATCTCGGAGCAGCTATGCAAGCGCTCACATGAATACATCTTTTATTTGCTCTGTGAAATGCTGTGGCCTGGTCAACTTCAGTGGAAAAATAGGTCAAAAGAACCATTTAGACAATTTTGCAAAATGTACTACTTTCATCCATGCAACACAAAAGGAGATGTGATAGAACAACAACCAGTCACCTTCCCTTTTATTTAATGGAATAAAAATACATGCTCAATAAGGCTGTTAGTCTCAAATGTCGAGGTTTGGACTAACATGGGGATAAATGTAATTTCCATGTTTTGAAAGATTATCCTTTTAAGTAACTATTAATATAACACGCCCTTGGTGTATTAAAATGAAATATGCATGTCCATGTAGGAAGAAACAGCAACAATTTTATCTTTTTTTACCCACCAACACGGTCTTGGATTACAGATGCATTTATTTATTTATTTATATGTAAATGACAGCATTAAAATACAACAATGAAACTAAAAAGGCTATTAACTAAACAAGTCCATGCGCTATTTTGAGGTGCACTGCTAAACTAACTATAATTTACATGCGTGAAATGTAAATGTAGACAGAGACCAACTTACATTCATGCTGACGCCGCGTGCAGTCCTCTAAAGATGAGTTCGGGGAAATTTAACACAGACAACACGACCCTTACGGCAAAAAATACAACTTTCATTGCCACCTGCACCTCAGCAGCCAAATTCGCCACATTTTAATATGCCCTTACAGCAGCACAACAGCAGAGCAGCGCTCAGCCCAAACAAAAAAGCTGTATTTATATGCACCGAAAAGGGTTCTGGGAGTTGAAGTCCTCTCGCTGCGATGCGGAAATGAACAAAAACTCGATTAGAACTACATACCAATCTGAATTACTTTATAAATGCAATTTAACGGGCAAGAAGACGGAGTTCACAAATACAAAGGGTTTGCATATTTGCATTAAAGATAAAAAAAACAATAATAATAATAATACATACAAGGTAAATAATCCACTTTTCTTTTTTCTTTTTTTACAACTTAAAAAAAAATATGTTAAATACAATTTTGGTATAATACAACAATACTAAATGAATAAAGCAATAAATAAATACGGCTTTAATGAGTGTTGTGCCCGACGGCTCTTGGTGATGATCTCATCAGCTCGCGCCCGGATGAGACTGATCTGTCGGCTAAAACAAACTCCGTCCGAGAAATGAGGGGCTAAATCTAGATGGGATGGAGATTATCAAGAGCTGGACGCAGTCAGTTCGACAGGATATATGTCCAGAATTTTCAAGAGGGACTAACGAGATCAAAAGTAGTGCTGGGAAATACATTCGTGGGCAAGTTTGCTAGTTAGCCGTCGTTAGCTCGACAAGTAACGTTACAGGCAGTGTTGTAAATAAAGAAATCGTCTGACGCTTTTATCCCCAAGTACGTTACATATTCACTTGTTTTCAGTTTTTCTGGAGATTGTTAAATACAAGTATTAAGGTAGGAAAATTAAATCAACTAATGTCAACGAACTGCATAGGCCAAGATAAGAAGTGATTAAACATTGACAGGCCTGTTGTTACTGGCCATAAAGGGTTAAGTTATATTTTAAGGGGGCTAAAAGAACAGGTTGTCGAAAAACATACCTCTTTAAATGAGGGGAAACTGGATCATGAGAGAAAAGCATAGATGTGGTGGGGTTGTCATGGCTCTGGCAGCTGTGATCTTTTCTTGCCTTATGATTGGAGTCACTGGTCAAGATGGACAGGCAATGACTGCAGAGGAAAAGTCCAAAATCAGGTGAGTTTAACTGCAATGGACACTTCCATGTTCTTGAATGACTTGTGATTTTACATGATTGATGGTAGCTCGTATGATTATGTTAACTGGTGTTGTCAAACGAGACGTTTACTATTGTGTACATTTAAGATTGCATATTAAGTTTGGTGACTTTGATTCCAGACCACTAGACAAACATGTCTGTTGCCTTATACTCAAACTGTGACTTACAGATGCCTAGAGGATGATGATGGCAGGCTGTAATGCTTTATGTAATGGTAAACATTAACCATGCACTTTAATTCCATGTTATTTTGGTTTTGTCTGACACTGATTTTATTAGTACACGGATGATGTGTTCTTGGATTGTAATTCTATACATGACCTCATTGTTTCAGTGGTTGTGTCTTGTGCTGTTTGTTCTGGGAGAAGATTGCTTCAGAACGCAAAGATGTTGATGGAAAGGATTACTCAATTTAACTGATCCAGTCTAATGATTCAGTTTGCTGTCATGCTAATTCCTGTTTTAAACCGCTGAGGTGTGGTCCGTCTTTAACCAAGATGTAATACCTTTTCGTAGCATCAGGGTGTGTGGACATACAGTAGCAGACATTTGGTCTTTGGGTTCACCATATACATATATCTACATTTATGTAGTTTGGGGTCTATAGGATCTTTTTTCTTTTTCTTTTTTTATGTTTTTGAAACGAGTTTCTTTAAGGCTGCATTTATTTGCTCAAAAATACAGTGAAACATCGATATTGTAAAATATTACAACATCGAGTGACTGTTTTCTGTTTCAATGTATTTTAAAATGTAATTTATTCCTGTAATGTCAAAGCTGAATTTTCAGCAGCCATCACTCCAGTCTTCAGCGTCACGTGATCCTTCAGAAATCATTCTAATATGCTGATTTGCTGCTCAAGAAATATTTCTTAACATTATTTATTTCTTCTTATTATCAATGTTGATAATTGTGCTGCTTGATATTTTTGTGATACATTTTGTTTTTCAGAATTCTTTTATAATTAGAAAGTTCCAAAGAACAGCATTTATTTGGAATTGATGTAACATAAATGTCAAATTGTGGGGGAAAATGTTTAAATTTTTTAAATTGTAAAAAATTTTAGTGCAAACTTTTGAACTATATATGCACATACATCCATAAACACATCACACATAACAGCAGCGAGATAATGTATGATTTTTCTTTTCTGGAAGGTGTTTAATAAAAGGCATTTTATTGTTGGTGACTTGTTGAAGTTGTGACTTCTGCAACAGTTACTAACAGAGTTGAATTGAGTATGCATGGATATTTCCATGACTTTTCCCCCGTGCGATATGAAACAATAACTGCTGCACACTCCTTTTTATTTATTTTTTTTTGTTTGTTTTTTGTAGGGACCAAATTCTAGAGATGTTTGATCATGCCTATAACAGTTACATGGTGAGTAAATACCTATGTTTCAGAAATAGTTTTGAATTAGTTCACTAATCAAAACATAGTGTTTCTGAATCATTTGCATTTATTGGACCTAAAGACCTAACATTCAAAGTAACTGTTGTACCGTAGTAATTGCACTTTGTGGAATTGTGAGAATGAATGTGTCTGTTATTAATCTGTTATCATTTGAGAGGCATATTTTCTTCTCCTATCCTCTTTCAGGACTATGCCTACCCAGCAGATGAGTTGATGCCCCTCAGCTGTAGAGGAAGGGTGAGAGGGCTGGAACCCAATCGAGGGGACATTGATGACTCTTTGGGAAAGTGAGTCAAGCTCATAATGATTCTGTATGAAGTGATACATTTACAATTTTTATTAAAACCTTTGCTGCACATGACACTTGTAATGACATGTTAGTTAGATTCTGGAAATTTGACTAGTCAGTTTGCTATATTTAGTTTCAAAGATTGATATAAACATTGATGGGACATCTGAAAAGTCTTGGATCAGCTTTTCAATAAAGATTTCTGTGTTGATTGATTCTTTGGGATATTAAAGGCAACCTCTCTTTCTCTCTTTACAGGTTCTCTTTAACATTAATAGACACTTTAGATACTCTTGTGGTGAGTTAAATCTTTGAAATAAACCTAAGTATAAACTTGATCAAAAACACTTAACAATGTTTAAGCAGCCAGACGTGTTAAGCGAGCTTATTCAGATCAATACAAAGGACATAATAGTAGATGCCTCTAAACTGTTGTTTTGTGTGTTTTGAGCAGTTGTTAAACAAACTGGATGAATTTGAGGAGGCTGTGAAGAAGACCGTGCAAGACGTCAGATTTGATAATGACATAGTCGTCTCTGTCTTTGAGACCAATATCCGTGTGCTGGGGTATGGATCATGATGTTTCTCTAGCTTTGGATGTGTTTATCTTAAAAACTCTTTAAAAAACTGTACATTTTAAAATAACTGATCAGGAATACAGTTGATTTTAAAGCAGGTTTTGGGCATAATTAGGTTTTCAGGCTTTCTTCTCTAAGTTCATTGTTCTTATTGACTTCCTCCGTGAAATGCATTGTTGATTAAACTTCTCCCTGTTCTTCCCAGTGGCTTGTTGGGTGCACATGTCATGGCAGATGTTCTAAAGCAGCGTGGAGAGAGGATGCAGTGGTACAGAGATGAACTGCTACACATGGCTAAAGAACTGGGCTGCCGCCTCCTGCCTGCCTTTAACACCACCAGTGGCCTTCCTTATCCTCGGGTAACTCCAACACTATTGATTAGAATATTTCAAACTCTCCTTCTATTCTATTCACAAAGTGGCAATTCACCCCTGGCAAGATAGGCTTTTAATAAAACTTGGATATTTTGAAATCGGAGCTACATGACTCGAGAAAAGGGGCTGTGTCCTTTCATTTTGCCAAAAACTTCAACACACATAATGCACTTTTGATTTTGGCGCTGTATGTCTCTGTCCACCTGTCCATTAGTGGAAATAGGAAAATGCAGAAGTATGATTTGTAGTTTTAACAAAAGCCAAAAAAAAGTTGCCAAAAGTCCACTGGCAGAGTTTTGCTGATAAATAAATATTTGTAGCAGGCAAGAGTATACTACTGACATTGTATCAATACAAAGCTGGCTGAAAATTGGCAAAATATCTTTGAATTTAGAGGCGAAATGCATCTCGCGCATATCGTAGCTTACATCACAATCAAAATATCTGACACTAATAGCATAACATTTTTATGCTAATTAAAATGACAAAAATTTCTTGTAAATGTTTTTATTCATATTTAAAGCATTTTCATTTTCCTCTTCAGGTAAATTTGCGCTATGGAGTCGTCAGCCCCCTTTCTCGTACAGGAACGGAGTCGGACACTTGCACTGCTTGCGCAGGCACCATGATTCTGGAGTTTGCAGCTCTCAGCCGACTGTCTGGGGACCCAATATTCGAGGTAAACGTCCAGCATGTTTTCTTACTAATAACAGATTAAAGGGGTCATATGATGTTGCTAAAAAGAACATTATTTTGTGTATTTGGTGTAATGAAATGTGTTTATGCGGTTTAAGGTTAAAAAAACACATTATTTTCCACATACTGTACATTATTGTTTCTCCTCTATGCCCCGCCTTTCTGAAACGCGTAGATTTTTACAAAGCTCATCGGTCTAAAAAAGCGAGGTGTGCTGTGATTGGCCAGCTACCCAGTGCGTTTTGATTGGCCGAATACCTCAAGCATGTGACGGAAATGTTACGCTCCTTACCATACTGTGATGCCATGTCCCGGCACGACGAGACAAAAACATTAAAACTCATTATAAACGAGGCATTTGTTGCATCCAGTGGGAACATAATTATGGATAATAATGACTTATACTGTCTTTTTATATGCAAATCTTCCCACATCGTGACGTAGACGTGGGGGCGTGTTTGAACGAGGCATTTTAGGAGGGCGTGGATGAGTCTTAACTTTTAAGAATATCTCTTTGGGTTTGAGACTTTAGCCTTTGCAACTTTAGGGATCTTATCTATTCACGAATGGCTTGTGACACTCCAAAGAGAAAGTAAAACTCGAAATCACATCATATGACCCCTTTAAGACTCAGACAGTGAGAAGCGTGTGCTAAGTTGTTCAACCTGCATCCTATGTAGGAACATGCTAGGAAAGCTATGGACGTCCTCTGGGAGAAGAGGCAAAGAGGAAGTGACCTTGTCGGCACTGTGATCAACATCCACAATGGAGACTGGGTTCGCAGAGGTGAGGCTTTGCACTGGCGCTTCTAGTTGTTGTCATTTCATTTACACAGTAAAAAATTTCCCACACAGCTATTTTACCACATCTAATCCCACTTTGCCTCTTACAGAGACGATATTCACATCAGTACCTTCTGTTTCTCATTACAGATAGTGGTGTTGGCGCTGGAATTGACTCTTATTATGAATACTTGATGAAAGCTTATATTCTTCTTGGAGACAAGGTGTACCTTGACAGATTCAACACAGTAAGGGCTCTTTATTCTCCATAAATAATCAAGCCTCTATTACTCAAACAGAGCTTGTTTTACATCTATTATCTGCACGTGTGACTTTGTCTTTGTCTATTGTAACAGCACTATAGTGCCATTATGAAGTACATCAGCCAACCTCCTCTGCTGCTCAATGTGCACATGCACAACCCCACCGTAAATGTGCGAAGTTGGATGGATTCCTTGCTCGCCTTCTTCCCTGGACTACAGGTTTACCTCTTCATCCCCTCTATTCCATGTTGCCACAAAAGATAGAGATAGTTTTGAATTTAGATCAGTTTAAGTTGAAGTCAGGGTCCAAAATGAATGTTTATTGAGTAGGAATTGACTTTATTGGCCAGTTGGCTACTAAGTTTAAAAAAATTACAGCATTGTTGAAACTGAATGGTATATGAATGGTATAACAAAAATAGTAGTTACCTTTTTGGTTCTTCTGTGATATATTCAAATATACAAACACTAAAATAAAGAAGCTCATTGATTATCAGATGTCCTTTAACAACTTTTACCTCAAATGTTGTGTTGTGTTGATTTGTTTCGTTTTGTAGTATGAAGCCATTGGCTGGCAGGACAAAGTTAAATTTGGATTCAAGTTTAGATTTAACTCACTTTAAAGAAAAAGGCACAAGTAGCTGTTTTTAAAATGAAATGTTCAAAATAATTCATTAAATATACCAAAATATCTTTCAGGTGCTGAGAGGAGACTTGAAACCTGCTATTGAGACGCATGAGATGCTGTACCAAGTGACTAAACAGCACAATTTCCTCCCAGAGGTAATTAATGGATGACTACATTTGTCACATTAAACCTAAACATCCTCAATCTACAGAGATCACTGCCTAATATTACAGTATTTTCAATACTAATCCTCCATATGTCTTTGACTACAAATGATGTTATCTAACAGGCCTTTACCACCGAGTTCAGAGTTCACTGGGGCCAGCACCCGTTGAGACCAGAGTTTGCCGAAAGCACATATTTCCTTTACAAAGTAGGTATACCACCTGATACAGCAGAATATGAACGCCTACTAGCAACCAGCAACAAAGTGTAAACAATGCTTAAGGTCACAATTGACTTGTCAAACTAGTTATTTTGTCTGTCTTCGTTGTTTTTAAATAACATTTTCCGCCTCATCTCTAGGCCACAGGGGATCCTTACTACTTGAAAGTAGGCCAGTCTATAGTGGAGAAGCTGAACACTCATGCTCGGGTGCCCTGTGGCTTCGCCGCCGTACAGGATGTGAGGACAGGAACGCATGAGGACAGGTGAGAGTCCTTTCAGTAATTCTTCCATATTGTTTGTGTCATCTAGATTAATTTTGAAAGGCAGCAGTAGTAAAAAAAAGTTTGTTCATTTTAAGGATGGATTCCTTCTTCCTGGCTGAGATGTTTAAGTACCTCTACCTGCTCTTCTCAGAGAAGACCCAGTTGCCTATAGACATTGATGATTATATTTTCACTACTGAGGCTCATTTGCTCCCAGTATCTCTGTCTACGACCCAACCCTCCTGTCATACCAACAACACGGTAAGAGCTCACCTTATTCTCAACTTTAAAATTATGTTATGTATGTCTAGTATGGGACCTTTTGGATCCACAAGAACTCTGTTTCTATGACTGAATGTTTCTCAGACTTTGGTTTTAAAGATTTAAATCCCCACAATGTGATCATCTCTACAACTTTTGGCTTTATTTTTTTGTCTGTAATTCTCTACAATAACAATGTTTCTATCCAAAATTGGAATATTACATAAAACATTTGGGAATAAAACGGTTTCAAAAGTCACATCGTCATTGTATATCTTTCAGGAACCTCAAGCTCATAAAGACGATTTATTTTCATACTCGTGCCCTAGTGCTCAAACCCTGTTCCCTAACAACCCCACCTTTGCCAAGACTATCAGGGACAGCTATAAATACCTCACTGGTTTGGGGAGAACCCAGCAGTCCTCACCTGTCAGGTGGGTCACATGTTACAGTTTTATCAAAGAGCAGCATGTATAAGAGAAAAAGGCCTAGCTCCTCTATTTTTCCAACACAGGGGGATTGAACTGCCTCTTCATGACACAGGCCTGGAGCCAATTGAGTTTCTGAAAAGCATGGGCATCTCTCTGACGCCCCTTTCTGAGCTGGTCTCCGCCAGCCAAGGCTTCGCATCTCAGGTGATTCAGAGCGAACGATTCCTTTCATTGGACCAACCAGTGTTATTTTACTATTATTTATATACTGTTGTTGTACTTACCAATTTTTTAAATGGGCTTTTATTTTTATATTTCCAGATTAACACTTTATTTTACAGTGTCCTTGTTACTAATATCTTACTAAAGACATTGCCCTACCCCGCTAATATGGTATTAATTTTATTTGTGCAGGTCTTAAAAAGTCTTACATTTGAGCTTAAAAATCCTGCAGAAACCCTGACATTACATGCACCTATTATTATTATAGTAATAATGGTATTTGAATGTATAATTACATGTAACTAACCCTTAACCAAACCCTAATCCCAACCCTAACCATACAGGTGCATGTTATTAATTTACACAATACTCCGCACTGTCTTAGAATCTGGACTCTTCTTTTATGAATGTTCCCATAGATCACAGAGAGGGCAGCAGCAGTGCCGAGACTCCACTGTTCCAGATGGTTGGAGATGGAGAACCTACAGATGACATCACAGTTCCCCTGGTGTTCCTCTTCAGTAAAGAGGGAGCTACACTCACTGCCGCTCTGCAAGAACATCACAATGTGGATGTCCTCCTGCTGCCCAAAGAGAAAAAAATAGGAAAAGGTATCTGACTTGACCAAAACTACTGAATATAGATTACTTCTGTACTCTTTAGTTTGTTGACTTCAGCAATTAGTGCAGACAGTCATTGCTCAGCAAAGAGACGGCAAATAAACTGTTTGTAAGTGATTTGATTTGATTTGATTTGATATATTTTTGTTGGCATTTTATTGATTTTATTGCTTATTTTTATTGCTTTTTAAGTAAGATTTTATTGCTTTTTAAGATTTTTACTAAATTCTAAATTCTAGTAAATATATTTATTTATTAATTTAGTTGAATTTATTGTAGATCATTATTTACAAAAAACGTTGCCTAAACATTTTACATTTGTGCAATTTATAGATTAAAGATGCAAGCCAATTTTTGTGATGGACTCCAATTTTGAGTTTCTTTGATATTTTTTTTTTCTTTCCTTTTAGAAAAACCTGAGAAGTTAAATATTAAGTTCCGTTTAGCAAAGGAAGAGTTTGCTGAGGGTGAGATGGAAAGCACTACCATCCACCTGGTGCTAGAGCAAAGCGAGACTGCCACAGAGATGAACACTGAGGCCGCATCGTTGACCGGTAAAAGCCAGGAGACCTGCAGTTCTCCGCAGAAAGACCCTGAGAGCAGCCCCTGACTGCGGGATCAGCTGCGACCACGGTCCCCTTCACAGAACGCAGGGCTTTTGCTCCCTGTCACTGATCTCCGATCAGAAAATGCAGGCTGTGCTATGGGAAATTTGACTTGACCAAAACTACTGAATATAGATTACTTCTGTACTCTTTAGTTTGTTGACTTCAGCAATTAGTGCAGACAGTCATTGCTCAGTAAAGAGACGGCAAATAAACTGTTTGTAAGTGATTTGATTTGATTTTATATATTTTTTGTTGGCATTTTATTTATTTTATTGCTTATTTTTATTGCTTTTTAAGTAAGATTTTATTGCTTTTTAAGATTTTTACTAAATTCTAAATTCTAGTAAATATATTTATTTATTAATTTAGTTGAATTTATTGTAGATCATTATTTACAAAAAATGTTGCCTAAATGAGTATATATCTTGGACATTTAATTAACAAAATAACTGGTTTTATTGGTTAAATATATATTTTTTTAAATGAATATTTTTAACTAATTTTTATTTATAATATATATTTTTTAACAAACCATTTGCTAAATAACATGAGTATTTGTCTTTTACATTTGTACAATTTATAGATTAAAGATGCAAGCCAATTTTTGTGATGGACTCCAATTTTGAGTTTCTTTGATATTTTTTTTTCTTTCCTTTTAGAAAAACCTGAGAAGTTAAATATTAAGTTCCGTTTAGCAAAGGAAGAGTTTGCTGAGGGTGAGATGGAAAGCACTACCATCCACCTGGTGCTAGAGCAAAGCGAGACTGCCACAGAGATGAACACTGAGGCCGCATCGTTGACCGGTAAAAGCCAGGAGACCTGCAGTTCTCCGCAGAAAGACCCTGAGAGCAGCCCCTGACTGCGGGATCAGCTGCGACCACGGTCCCCTTCACAGAACGCAGGGCTTTTGCTCCCTGTCACTGATCTCCGATCAGAAAATGCAGGCTGTGCTATGGGAAATGTTTCAGCTAAGCCTAGACTGTACCATCTGAGCTCCTCACAGGGGGGATCACAAGCCCTCCCCTGGTTAAGATGGTCTTATCTTGCATAGTTGGTACTATATTGATCTGTACAGAGTGAGATTGTACGACGCGTGAAGCTCCTGTCTCTCTGATATCATGGTAGTTGCAATAGATTCTTCTCAATTGTCTACAATTGAAAAGCAATCGGTTTTGGGTATTAAAGAGGTCTACAAGAATTTCTCACGCCACTTTATGTGGATCAGACTTTATTTGAATGTTTTTCTTTGTCTTTTTCTTTCACTGCGGATCAATGGTTGTCAGTCCTGTGCATTTTTTTATTATTATTCATCCTTAAAGTCTAAGTGGCTTGAAGTCTTCAGGACATCCTTAACACATGGCTCCCATGACCAAACCCCAAAAAACAGTGTTTAAATTAGGGAGAATGGACCAGTAAAACACAGTTTAAAATTTTTCAATACAGAAACATCAGGGAAATCAATGATCTATGATTTGAACATGTCTGCATGCGTGTGTGTGGAAGGCATGGCCGGTGGCCTTTATCATTATGTCACAGACTCTGTGCATTTCATCATGTGCCAATACTAAAACTGTGTATTTGTGTATGTGTGTGCATATTTGCAGCCAATGCATTCATCCTGCTTTCATGTAGTGACTGGTCAAGGGACGTTTTTGAGAGAGAGTTGTCCTTTCCTCTACCAAAAACATGCGTCTTGTCATGAAGGCCCAGGACACAGGCAGATTATATAGTAATATTTACATATGTTTTTGTGCAATGAGAAAATAATTTGTGCTGTCAGGGTGATGATGACAATTAGTCATATATATTTAAATGAATTTAGCCATATTTGACAGCCTCCATTGTCCCTCGTACAGCTTCACCATCACACTAGAGGTGCTGCTCACACTAGATTCATCGCTTTCGACATATCATCTGAGAATATTTCAAATGCATCAATGTTATTAGACTAGCTTTTGCATTGAGTGTCACACAGCCATAATGTAGCTCAGAGATTAATACAATCTATCGCTTTATAGAATGCGGTCGAATGATTATATCAGCCCCAAACCTTTCCATTTCAAGTCTTAATCACAATCTACACCTTGTATTGTGTCGCTGATGGCTGTTTTCAAAAGGATGTCGACCTGTGTACCTCTTGTTTCACAAAGGGCTTATGACTGATTAACTTCAATGTGTGGGCATAATTCTGATTAGATGGGATTATATTTATTTCTTAAGATATTTTCTATACATTAACTTGAGATGAAGATGTTTGTTATAAGGGTCAGCTGAAGCATTTCTTGAGGGCCAAGGTGATGTAATATTCTGTTGCTGTGACAGAACAAGATTTTTATAGCATCTTTTTGATAGCGGTTTTGTATTGACTGATGAAATGTTAGTACTTGCCATTAAAATCAAAATCAAGTTTATGACCCTAAATTGTCTCTATTTTGCTGCGATGTAATTTTTTTAAATTGATATATATATTAACGCATTACAAGTAACGCGAGTTACGTAATCAGATTACTTTTTTCAAGTAACTAGTAAAGTAACGCATTACTTTTTAATTTACAAAAGAATATCTGAGTTACTTTTTCAAATAAGTAACGCAAGTTACTTTTTTTTTCCAATTTATTGATTGACAGCTCTCCTGTCCCCATGTTGAGAGAAATCAGAAGATGTTACTGTAGTTTAAAAAAAAATATGAATATGCATTGTCATCTCACAAAAAAAAAATAAAACACACAGATTCAGTATTCCTCAAAATGAATAAAAATAATGCAACTCAGAATATGGCGCAAACCTGCAATAATTAAATGTTAAACAACACAAATATACTTTATGTATTTAATCCAATTCTATTAACCGATGTCTTTGCTTCTGGCCTTCGATGATCCAGTTCAACCGTACGAATAAGCACAAATTACTCTAGACAAACGTTTGTGTCTCTTTTTTATTGCTGAAGTGTGTTGAAATGTATTCTTCTGCATTCTACTGTACAGACGTAAATTTACTTTCCCTTCAGCCTGAGGCTTTTATATTTGCCAAAAATATAACTTTTTTTATTTTAAAAACAAACAAGCAAGCCCTGTCCAGATTTAAAAAGTAACGCAAAAGTAACGTAACGCATTACTTTCCATAAAAAGTAACTAAGTAACGTAATTAGTTACTTTTTTATGGAGTAACGCAATATTGTAATGCATTACTTTTAAAAGTAACTTTCCCCAACACTGATATTAACACATACACATGCATGAATTATAACAAAATAGCATAAACAGGATTTTAATCAATTGTTGTACTAATTTATTTTCTCAGGGTTTTCCCTGGTGTCTTCGAATAGAATTTTGTACACCGAGGTGACGTTCAGTTATTGTGGCGTCATACAAAATTCATTTGCAGAGTTTCTTGGTTGAAGAAGATTCTGATTTTTAAGATGTTGTCTTTGTAAGCCTTACAAACGAGTCAGCCTACAGCTTTTACTCAATCAGACAGCGTCAGAGCATTTTACTTTAAGAAAAAGTCGGAAGTTCAGGTAAGTGTCTCTTCTTGATTTATTTATTTATTTTTGACGAAACATTAACTTTTAAACTGGATATTTAAAATGGAGTTCGATGAGAAAGATATCGATATCTATCTATGATATACGTTTTTTGATAACTTTCTCCTCGAAATCATGTCTTCGTGCAAACGAGTCTGCAAACAATTGTCGACTCACACACGCATACATCAGTTCATACGCAATATCAGTTATTTTTTTACAATTTTACTTTCAGAGGAATGATTTGCCACGGAGTTAGTATCCGAATTCCAAGTAAGTTTTTTTTTTCTTCCTGTTTTTTTAAGGACAATATGTCACTTTTTAAACTTGTTACTTTTTTATTGGTTTAGCTTACAAAAGGCCTGATGTGGAGAGAAGAGATCGCAAGGAAAACGTAAGAAAATGTTAGCGTGTATGTCAATAAACAAATCATGCCTCTCTAAGTCAGAGTATAATTAATTGTTTAAAGAAGGTTCTAATGCTGTTAGGCTAAAAGTTGAACTTGAAAAATAATTACTGAAATAACCGATTAAATGTATATCGTTGATACAAATAAATATGTTTTGAGTGAATCCTCCATTGTGCTTTTGCAGTTGACACTACCAAAAACTGTCAACAGAGGGCCACAGGCCCCTACTGGTCCTTCTTTCCGGAGTCTGGATCAACCCAGAGGTGAGTGTGAGCCACATATCTTATACGTATCTTAGCACTGTAACATTCAATTTTACCATCACTCTGTTAGATGTCACATTCATGGATATGTCCATTTTGTATGCCTCCTTAAAATTTAGTTGCACTTGGTGCAAACAATCAGGCAATTAACTTCCTTTTTTTGTCTCGAATCCATATGTATTTGTAGTGGCTCTTCCTTTTTTGGCCAAATTCCGACCATCCAGACATCTAACATCTTGTCCAAGCAAAACAGAGGTATCTTGAAACACTTGCAAAAAATCTTTATTGGTTAATCAGTGAAAGTTAGTGTTTGATACCTGTTTGTCTAGCATTGACTTTGTTTCTGGCATCATGCTTTTGCAGTTGACACTACCAAAACTGACTATAGAAAGCCCTGTAGAAAAAGCTCAAACCTTCTGTGTGCATCCTACCTGGCCTTCTGTCCCAGGACCGGGTCCATCCACAGGTAAGCAAGCGGCACAGATCTCCTTACATACTGTATGTCTCAGCACTATAACATTCAGTTTTAACCTCACTGAGATATCATAATACATTCATGCACCTTGTAAGTTTTCATGTCTCTATTGTCTTCTCTTTGGTTCGCAGTGGCTCGTCCTCTGTATAAATTCCCGCCATCCAGACTGCGCACCTTGAACCCAAGCAATTTGAAGAGGTCTCTCAGATCTGAGGTATCTACTTCTTAAAACACTTGCAAGTCTCACTATTAGTGTTACATTTGATTTCACTCAGTGGTTATGGATCTCTGAAAATGATGGTGATCAAAAAAAAAATCTTTACAGCATTTAATACCTGTTTATTATCTCTGTCAGTACTCGGGCAAGGACCTTGAGCCATTTGATGGCAACAGCCCTGGATACCCCAGATTGGGAGCAGGAATATAATGCATAATAAATAATGCACATGCCTTCATTCATTCATGTCCTCAAGGAAAAAAACTAACAGTTTGCATGTGGAAACTTTGGCCACTAGGTGCCACTATCAGTAAGCATGAATTCTAAATTTCATAAACATGACATCTGAATTTCCATGTTATTTTATCCGTTCATTTAGAGTCAGTAAATTACTAAAATAAATTAAAATGCCTCAGGCTGCATATTATATGTAATATTTTATGTTAAATTTCACTAACTAAAGTTTAAGGACTCAAAACCCAAATAGATTTAAAATATATATATATATATTCTTTCCAGCAGTGGCTTTGTTTAAAACCGAAATTAATTCAAAACTTTATATTTCCAAACTAAAATTTCAGTATCATATTTATGTTATAGCGGAACACAATAGCAACACACTTACATACATTTCAGAGCCAACAATATAACTTAAAGGTTAAACTGTTTTCTCACAAGAGTATTTATCACGAATGTCCGATTGGGCAAGCTGCCATGTGTTTTATATTTTGTCATTTTAAGACGGTTTATTATTTACAATGCCTGTCTTCCAAAACAAGGATTTTATATTTTTGTACATTTTTGCCATTGAACATTTCATGCATCGATAAGAAGCTGTTAAAGGAATAGTTCACCCAAAAATGTAAATTTGCTAAATATTTACTCACTTTCAGGCCACCCAAGATGTAGATGAGTTTGTTTCTTCATCGGAACAGATTTTGGAGAAATTTGGCATTACGTCACTTGCTCACCAATGGATCTTCTGTAGTGAATGGGTGCCGTCAAAATGAGAGTCCAAACAGCTGATAAACACATAATAATCCACTTGACTCCAGTCCAGCAATTAAAATCTGATGAGAAGTTGCGTGTTTGTAAGAAACAAATCCATCATTTAGTCTTTTTAACTTTAAACTGTTGCGTCTGGTGAAAATAAGAGTCCATAATCCATAATAACCACTGATCTATTTACAGAATACATTTTTTTCTGGCTAAATACATTTTTTTTATTTAACCAGAAGCAACATTTTCAAGTCAAAAATGTCTTAATGGAATTGTTTTATTACAAATATACAGATTTTCACAAGATGTTAATTGATAGACTGGAGTCGTGTGGATTAGTGTGATGTTTTCATCAGCTGTTTGGACTCTCATTCTGAGGAAATCTTCAGCAAATATTCATTTTGGGGTGAATTGTTCCTTTAATGGCAAGTTCCCACTGATGACATGCTCTGCAATTTTTTTTTATTATCAAATAAATGATAATATCATGTTTCCGGAACAAATAATTCTTTATTTAAAACTGAAATATCTTTTATTTTGTTAGTAACAGAATGTTCCTTCACCTGAGAGAAGAGCCGATCCACGTCAGCGTCATTGCGTCACGAGCTCATTCATCCTCCCGCTGGCCGCTGCTGCAGTAGCTGTTCTAATCTGTCCTGTAGCGTGTCTATCAGCGGGCGTTCTCCTTCTCCTCCTCCCTTTCTGCCGCAATCTCTCTCCTCTATCTTTAGCTCTGTACCACGCGCGCAGCGGCTTAACGCTCTTCTTGAGTTGAAGCTCGCATCTTTATTCGGCCGGTTTGTCTCTGTCGGTCGTGTACGTTCATCCGACCCACACACATGTGGGAATGACACTCCGGAGGTTTTATCTGCTGTCCTGGACTTGAGAAGCGCAGTGAAGGATGTTGTTTTCCCCGAGCCGGAGCGCACGGCGAGCCCGGGCCTCCCTCCTCCTGCCCGGGGTCTTGATCTGCGTAATCCTCGCCGCCGTCGGTGCGAGAATACCGGGTAAGGGTCTGTCGGTCTGACACATGGTAGTGGCTCAGCAGCTTTTGTGAGCTCTTATTTATTATACGCCATTTGTTTTTAAATATGTATTATGTATTTCATAGTGTGTGATGTGAAAACACTATTTAAAGTGGTTCAAATTGTACTATTTAAATATGTTATCCTTGATTTCCAAAAGCTGATTTTGAGTTTAAATATTTATACCCCTGTGAATTTTGTAGCTTACATATGTGGGATATTCTTTATTACACTTTTGCAGATGATATTTGCCAATTAGAATAAACAGGGTTCAGACTATGTAAACCCTAATCCGGTTGAACAAGTGGAGAAACAAACATGAAGGAGGAAAGGAAAATGGAATTTCCTTGTGGCTGTTTCCCTCTCCTGTTAAAGTGTTGTTTAAGACCGTTTTAAAGTCAGGGACCCCTTGATGGATATAGCGATTACATTACATAGATTTGCATATTTAATCAAATTGAGTTTTGCGTTTTTGATCTGGTCTATAGTATATTTGCATGCTTTAAATGTGATGCTTACATTGCACAACCATTAACATAGAGTCTTGCACTTGACATTTAATTTTATTTTTACTTAATTAAATTTAATGTGGGAGGGACGGTGTAACTTTAAGATGAACTTTAGCTTCTTAATTTGAGCTTTGGTAGAAGTTAACTTAGTAGTGCGTTTTGCTTTCTTTTC